AATCCAAACCTATAAAATTGTGCCCAGATCAAACCAGTTTCCAATTAGCCATGGATTATGACTGAATTCTTGAAGCTATTTAAGCCTTAATCAAATTCTTAGGGCTAACCTTAGGCTGAGTCAAGAGAGAACTGGCTCAACTTTCTGGGAAGAGCATCCAACCAGCTATCAAGTCACCTCATCCTGTACTTTGCTCAATTCCCAAGCAGACCAAGAACAAAGAGTGACCTTCGAGCTCTGCAGTGCTTTCTCAGAGTGCTTTCCCCTAAGTGGTTCTGCATGGATTTCACCAAATGGGCATTCACCTAATGGGAAGGAATCCTTCCTATCTTCATAACCTATGTTTCTCTAGTCACATAAACCTGGGACAGCAGTTAAAAGCAGGATGACAAGAGCCCCACCACTCTGAAGTCCCTCCTGAGTCATTGAGAAGGGCCACAGAAGCCCCTTGCACGTGATGCTGCCTGCAAGGCTCCTGGTTACTCCCTGTCCTCCCCTCCCCCAATTTGTGTTGGCTGTATGGACCATCGCCCACCACTCTCAGACGATCTCTGCCACCCTTATGAGGCTTCTGTGGGCCTTGCCTGACCCTAAAATTGGTTGCAAGGGACCCCAGGCTTCTGTGATTGCACAGCCATTCTGTGCTACCCCAGGCCATTCTCTGTCTCCCTTAGCCACTTTCTATATATCTCCCTTAGCCATTTGGAGACATGCTCAGACTGTTTATGTCACTATGTGTCTCTGTATGATACCATCAGCCACTAGCAACATGCATCTTCTACCTGTGCTCTCACAGTCACATCACTGCCAGGTGACAGAGGCCGCAGGTAGATTCCCTTTGCTCTGCTTTTTTTACACTCTGACGCCAGTCCACAGAGTGGGCGCCTCCCTCTCTCTTTCTATCTTCGTCTCTATTTCTCTGTTCATCACAGCTTGCTCTCCCTCAGGCCCTTGCAAAAGTCCCTAAAGGTAGGGTGAAACCAGAGAACAGATTGAGAAACGTACACCCAGTTGTACTCAAACTTTGCCCCTGTCCTCTAATATCCAATATTTGGTTTTTAAACAAGTTTACTTGCCTCAATCTTCTCTTCCCTTAGGTTGAGTATCTTCCTAGGAGAGTCTTTGCCCTCATGTATAAACAAGCCTCTAGCATCCTCTCGATATTGAGATGGTCCGTGCATCATATACCTAGCCCTTCTAATTCCATGGCACACCTCCACATGCCCACCATATAAATGGACAACCAAACTTATTAAGCACAACGTTGGAATCACTATACTTTGTACTTTTGGTTGTTTTTATTCATAGTCCTCTTGTTTTACTTAAGCTTTGTACTGAATGGAAACAGATGTTCACAGACAAAGGGGGAGAAATAGATCAACAAAATCTCCCAGGGATTATATTTTTTTATTCAATCATGCCATAGCTGCTTGCTGAGCTCAACCATGGCCCCATGCTAGGTGCAGAGTGAGAAGATGAGATGAATCAGGCTTGGTCTCTACCCACAAAGAATGTGCTCTCTAGTTAAAGTGGGGCTGGAAGAAGTTGAAATACTACAGGACCATAATCCAAGGTAAAAAGATCCGCACGCCACACAAAGGATGGGTATGTAGTAGGTTGGGTGTGAAGATAAATCTCTCTTCTGGCATGGCAGATCAGTGACAGCCTAATTGGATTTGAGAAATGGGTAGGATTTGGATGTGTGAAGATAAAGAGTAAGAATTATTGATGCTCTAAAAGAGAAAACAGCATGAACAATGTATTAGGGTGGGAAAGTAAGTAATATATGCTGGGAATAAGTCAGTTACGGAATGCTAGTAATAACAAGTGAGTTACGGAATTCTGGGAATAATGGTTTGCTGCATTATAGAGTACAAGAAGGAGAACTGCCTGAGATGAGATCTGATGGGGCCAGTGCAAAGGGCCTTGAATTCCTTACTGAGCAATGTGTACTTTATTTGGTAGATAATTTGGACTACGAAGGGTTTCTGATCATTGATGTGAATGATCAGAGTTGGGCAATAGTATTCATAGAGACCTTGAGAAGCAAAAATCGAAGAGATACCTCAGTCGAGGAGACCAGTTAAGAGATTCTTATAATCATGCAGGTGGTGGCCAAGCACCTGGAGGAGAGGAGGTTCTGCATGAGAGACAGCCAAGAGAGAGGGCAGGGAGCTAGGAATTGATGGGAGGAGGGACAGGTGGGGACTCCTCGTTGCACACCTGTGTTTGTGGTTACGACAGTAAAAGTCCTCACTCACCCACAAAGCCTTCTTGATATCACACAGAGACATCATGTTTGGCTTGCAATACAATGTGAGTGGTGCTGCAGTTGAGACGTGCCGTGCATAATGCTTGCAACATGTGTGAGACCTTTCGACAACACAGTCACCCTCATCCACAACATCAAACTCAACAGAGTTTCCATAGTCGCTATGTGGGCAGCCTTTGTCACAGGCCAGTGCTTCAACAGATTTTTCACAGAATTGAAACACTAAGGGGAGAGAGTCAGGAGGAGATAGCAAGGAAATAGGGCTGGGAGAATCTAGATGACCACTTGAGTGCTGTTCACTCAACCATGGACACTGCCCTGCAACACCCTACATTCTTTTTCCCAGTGGATTAGCTGATCTGATTAGCAGAATCTGGCTAGGAGTGAAGAACATGAAAGAGTTGATTGGAAAGTCAGTGGACTTGGATGTTAGACTCAGGTCACCCATTTGACCTGAAGGAGAAAGAGTCAGCCATGAGGGTGGGGGTTGGTGGGGGAGCATCCAAGGCAGAAAGGATGGTGCAAACAGTCTTCCTGAGGAAGGAATAAGCCCGTGTGTTTGAGAAGGCCAGCGTGGCTCGCCTCTAAGACTCTCTCAACAGCTCCTGAAGAGGTGTGTTTTGTTGTTGTTATTTGTGTGTTTGTTTAATTTTGAAGGAAGTCATTTTGTTGATAAAGTTTAGAGAGTCATTTTAACAAGTCTAATGGAAACCAAAGGTCAGACAGAATGTTGCATGGCAGAAGTTTTCAAGCTTTTTTTAATGCATACAGACGTGACCACACTACAAAGCCAAGAGAGAATCCACAGGACCCTAAAAAGCTGTACAAAGCAGGGTCTGATCCGAGTTCAAGCAGAGATATGGGTTTCTGCTTCTGGAGACTGAAGTCATGAACCGGAGCTTTATCTGATCACCTGAAATAGTCACAGAGGGCTCTGGTTTTATGATGTTACTCTCTCAGCTGTGGGAGCTGACCTTTTCTGTGACTGATGGTCATGTTCAAGAGAATGTCTGTGAAAACTAAAAACTCTTTCTGGAGGAAATTATACTCGTGACGGCAATCCACTGGATAGCCACCTTGTGTCCTTCTTGTTTTTCAATATATTGCATGTATTATGCACATTTCCTCCAGGAGAAAACAACTTGGGAAAGTGACAGAGCAGGGAACTCACTGGCAGAGGTCCTGTGTCTGAATCCAGCTCCCAGTTCCTCCACTCACTCGCTGTGAGCCCTTGGACAAGTCACCGAGCCTTTTGGAGAGTCTGGTTCCTCATCACCAGAAGGAAGATAGTAATTCTTGCCCTGCCTTCCTCCTAAGATCATTCTGAGGCTTAAAAGAGACATCCAGTATGAAAAGTATCTTGCAGACTGTAACGCCCTGCATATAAAGCAGAAAACAATAGCATCTGCAGTATGAGGAAATGCCTGGAGCTTTGTAAAGGTGTCTCTTTGATTCAACATTCCTGGAGCAGACCACACCAAAGTGAAAGACTCCCCCGCAGAGACAGAGAGAGAGACATTGATGTTAGAACGACAGAATTATAGATTGCACTTGCCTCTTTTGTACAGAATAATTTATTATAGCACAAACGAAATACAAGGCTCTGAATAAATAATCACTTTTCCCAGTCATTGCATCTGCAATTGTGTCCACGCACACTTCTGTGAGCACATAAGGACACAGATGGCACAGCCGTATTTCCTATTCAGCTCATCATCTGTGTAGTGAGGAGAGCCCTGAGTCAGGGTTCTTCTCTGCAGGTTAGAGCTGTACACCTTGGAGGGAACATACAGGGGACCCTCCCAATTGATCTGGAGCAAATGACTGTGTCCTTTTCTCTTCCGAGTCCTGGTCAAGAAAGCGTATTGGGCGCAGGTAGCTCTGCCCTCGGGTTTGGGGCACTCTCATGTTCTTTTACTCAAAATTTGCAAACACCTCTTTCTAAGAAAACACACACAGCAGAAGTATTCCCCAGCTGTCATTTGGGCAGTCAGGACCCCTCAATGTGCACCCTCTTTTCTAGGCTCTTATCCCCATTAGAAACCACCTTCCAAGGTACACAGCAGTCAAGTCTGGTTGTTCACACCATGGGACCTCACAAGGCTGGAGCCCATCCCCTCAGCCCGTCTTCCCATGGGGATCGGTCTGGTATTCTGTGTGGGTAACAGTGGTAAATGGTTCACTTCACAGCACGAGACTGAGATGCCAGGCCTATGGAGCCTGGAAGGGATCTTGCAGGTAATTGAGTTTCATCTGATACTTGACTTAATTCTCTAATTGGTCTTTGAACATCCACCGGTACCTCCCATGTCACCGAGTGCACACCTTGTGAGGTCACCAGCCTCCACATCCATCAGTGCTGACTACTGGGGCAGAGGTCTTCATGTTAGCTCAAAGCCATTCCCACCATGTTCTTTACCCACTGGTGGCACCACTAGCCACAGGTGGGAGCCTTCTCTCCCATGGTAACCCTTCAAGCATTTTAATACAATTCTCACAATTCTCCCGACTGTTTCTCCAGGCTGAGCACTCCCTGCTCCTTCACTTATTGCCTCTAAGATGTAGCTGGTCTCAAACATAGTCTTCAGAATCAGCCTCTTTTGCCTAGATTTTAGGACTGTTTGGCTGGTGGAGAAGCAGAGTCCTCCATCCCTGTTCCCTGCCAGCCATGTGCCAACTGCTGAGGATGGAATCCCTTAGTATTAGACCAAACAAAAGCAACTCAGAGTCTCAGAAAGACAAACAGACCCTGTGGGTTTGGGTTTTATTTTTTTTGTTTTGAACACACCTGTAGGCCAAGCCTGGCAGGAGAACTCGCATTCATTTGAACAAAAGGTCCTGGCGTTAACAAAAGATTGCCTCCTTCCTCCTGGCAAAGAGCTCATTTGGCTGTCAGATCACACTGAGCACCCTGCTCTGCTGGAGCTTTGTGATCAGGTGGAATTTGGAAGCAATGGAAAGTTCGCTGAGAAGATGTGCGTCTGAGGCTGGGTCTGCTCTCCTCACCCTGAATTTCAATTTTCTCATCTGTAAGGTGGGGATGGTGAGTCTTTTGTCTGAGTCCCAGGAGAATTGTGCAACTCAAGTGGGCTCATGGAGGTGACAGCCCTTGGCAAAGAGCTCTTCTAATTAATTACACACACTGCTCTTGCTCATCACTAGGTTGTAGACCGTCTCCAATTTGCCCCTGCCCATGACCCTCCGCTTTTGAAAAATGAGAAAAACTATCAGTTCTAGAAAAAGACATTCAGAGCTGCCCTATCTCTGCTGAGGCTGACTTTGTAAAAGCAAGCATTTCTTTCTGTACCAAGGAAGACAACACTTCTGCAGCCTATTTTAATGATTCTTCTCACCCTATATTAAAACCAGAAGCAACAAGGTACCATTGTGGCTGAGAAACACTATGTTCTCAGCATTATCTGTAGTCACAGAGCCACCAACCGCACTCAGTAGTTCAGCCAGGGAAGGGAATGGTGGCAGATGCTCTTGATGAGTAGCAAAGCCAGCCTCTTATCCTGGGCCAGGACACTCCCCCCTGCCCAGAACACTCCCTTAGGACTTGACGTTCATAATTTTGCTTTTGCCTTATTATAGTATATGTGGATGTTCTCCCAGAATTCAGGGTCGTCTGCTGAGTTAGCAGAAACCTGAGTGTTTTCTATCCTAAGTGAATCCAATATAACCAAACTGTAATTGTGATGAAATAAGGAAAATTTTTGTTTTCTGAAAACTGAAGCCTCAAACTTAAGAAATGTGTGGGTTGTGTGAGGACTTATGTGGATGATAGCATATAATGCTGTAGCACAAGACTAACTTTTCTCAAAAATAATAGAGCAGAGGAGTGAAAATTCCTGGCGTCAGGCGTGTGAGATGAGAGGTTCTTACGACACAGAGAAGTTCACAGGGTTAGGAGGCGCAGAGCTAGGGGACAGAACCCTTTGATTTGGGCTGCTTTCCTCTCTTTCCCAGGAATACAAGCCAGGTCAATAACATAATTTGTGAGGCCCAGTGCGAAATGAAGATGTGGAAATCCTTGTTCAAAAATTAAGAATTTCAAGATGGCAAGTGCAGAGTATTAAACCAAGTGTGGGCCTTTCTAAGCATGGGGCTGTGTGTGACTACACAGGTCATCTGCCCATGAAGCCAACCCTAAATACAGGAGACTGCACTTCTCAGCTTCTTTGCCAAATCCCTGGTAAATGACGCTTAATGAGCCTAATGAGATGTGGGTTGTGCAGAAATGTGTGCTGCTTTGGGGGTGAAGTGGGGAAGAGCCCATGTGTGATCCTCAGTCTTCCTTCCCTTATCACAGTAAACATGGAGTCTTTGTGTTGAGTCAGTGGGGCCATGATACTGAAGCAGTCACCACTCCCAGGAGAGCTATTCTAAAGAGTCACCTGGACCAAGAAGGAAGCTCTTGTGTGTTAACCCATTCAGATACGGGAGTTATTTGTTATAGCAGCATCAGCTTAGCCTATCCTTACTAATATAGAAGGGAAGGCCAGAAGTAGAAGAAAATGCCTCAGATTTGAGAAGTATGACGAAGGAAAGGAAACCAGACAGTGAAGATTGGTGTGATGGTTCCCATGCATTTGTTTTTCCAACAGTGAAATAAGAATTCAAAAATGATCTTTAACATGTTACAATTCTAAGACTACACACAGTGCTACTTTCCCTCAATTCATTTAAAAGATATATTATCTAAGAAAAAAGATTGCATATTCTGCTTCTCTTTTAGCCTCCCAATCTCTTGGCCCATTGCCATTCTTGGCCAGCTCACTCTTAATTCACTGAAAACCTCTAATACCTTTAGAAGCCAAGAGGAAAGCAGTCTCTTGGGGCAGTGCTCTGCTCTGTAGAAAGTATTGTATCAAACAGACTTCAGTTTGTCACCATGATTGGATAGGTTTTTGATTCCAAAAACTCCAGCCGATATTGTAAGAGTCTCATTGCTTAAATATCACTGAAATTGGTCCCTTTTTGTCATTGCTTCTATATTAGTTCAACATGTTTATCCTATTGCCTTCAAAGTTGTTCCTCATTGCTCTCAAAGACCGGATTGCTGTAAGACACTTCCCTGCCACACCCTGGACTGTGAGAGTAGGAGGTTTGATTTATCGGGGGCCAACTGGGGTCATTTGCCAAGGCCCTCTGCCATATCCGATACTGGCTTTTTGATTGATATCCAAAACACCTTTTGATTGCCATCCACAGGGCTCGGTTTTCAATAATGGCCTCCTGCAAAATAAAAGAGTTACTCTTTACAATCAGAAGTTAAGTGTTCCCAGGCTACAACTCTCCATAGATCATAACAAGGCACCACTTCACTGGCCACTTAGATTCAGCTTGACAAAGACCTTGAGCCCTGGACAAACAAATCCAAGGTGGTTCATGGCCTCTCAAACTTTTCCACTTAAAGAACTCTTCTGGGAGAAGAGAGAGGTACATAGTTTCAAGAATCTGGAAACATAGCTTGAAGTGGTCAGCCTCAAGGATGAAATTTCTTCTAAATCTTATATATAAATTAAACTTAAAATCACTCAAATTCTGCAGGCCTCTCCACACCACATCCATATTTGATTTAATAAAAAAATGATTTTAAATTACTTACCACCGAATGGTATTGACCCTATAGAAAGCTGTGTCACACGTACTATGTGGCTTTGGTATACCTTGGCACATCACTGCATAGTCACGAATAGAAGTTGATAAAATTGAAATATGGACCACAGTCTTTGAGTTGGATGGATCTGGATGTGAGTTCCAGCTCTCACACCCACTACGGGCAAATTAATCACCCTATCTGAGCCTCAGTGAGTAGAAACAATCATTTCTTCCTCTTTTGTTTGTCATAGGGATTATGTAACTCTCCTTACAATGCAAGGTGTGTCATGGCATAGTTGCCTCCTTCACCGCCCTTCTGAACTATTCATTTAACAAATGGCTGTGCACGGTGGTCTGGTAAAGATATATCTCTAAACTTCACCCACAAATATTTCATTGCAATACATTTTTTAAGATTACAAAAGATATTTCTTTGGAAACATTTTGGACTGTAATTTTATTTGACGAGTTAGACTGAGCCTCCAATAGAGCCCAGATTATAACTCACAATCCAGAATGCATGAAAAGTTATCACGTTAATTTTTCATTTTTATTATATTTGGTCACAGAGGTTAATCATCTTAGAAGTTATCATGAAAGAAACAAAGAGAATAATATGAGGAGCCAAGCTGTCCCACAGAATTAGAACTGGTTTTGGTGTCTATCACTGGCACCTTTGCCAAATTGTAAGAGTTAATTCTGTAGGAGTCTAAAAGGAACTTGGCCAGAGATAGTGGTTTTCGTAAAATCCACTCATCTTTAACATTTGAGTCCCATTGCTCATGGAAATGATAGAGAACAGCTAGTCTGAATCTTCCTCTAAAAACTGATCATCTGCTAGCAGGCTATTAAAAACCCACACAGCCATCTCATCGGCATCTTGCAAATCTCAGGGCTCACCTGCCAGACCTGTTATTTGACTTTCCCATAGCAAAGATTTTTGTCCGTCTTAATTGACAAGAGAACAGTAGTTTTCCTCATAGCTGGGATAAGGCAGGATCATTGGTATCCAATTAAAGGTTTTAAGATCTAACTTATCTCCAGGAAATCTTAGCAGGCTTTAAACAAAACAAATGAAATGAAAACACAGACACACACACACATACACACACAGAAAAATTTTAGCGTTCTGTGCTTTGCCTTGAGCTCTTTGACAATTTCTTACAATTCTAGAAGTACGATGGCCTGTATCCCTTTGCTGCTTTGGAAAAGGGATCTGAAGCACTAAAAGATGATCTGTCCTGTCGCTCTACTTTGTAAATTAAATGCAGAGCTAGAAACAAAAGGAACGCCTTGATGAGATACCATTTCTTCAAAAATAAGACCACCACATGAACTTTTCTGACTGGCTACTCAAATAATTCATGCATATATCCATGAATACATATATACAAACACAAAACAGAGGAGGATTAAAGCTACCCACATCAGCCCGTCTGCCTGTTAGCTGGAGGTTAGTTGGATCATGAGACTCGGCAAAGAAAGGACTAGGTCTCACTTAAACCTGTTTGTTTTCTGGGCTGCTCTAAGATCAAGGTTAGGACTAGGGTTAGGGTTAGACCTCTCAGCAGACCAGACAATATTCAGGACTGCGCAGAAGGAGGCCAGTCATCCTCCATGCTTGTCTCCCCAAAACCTTTCTGGACCATCTCTGCCCCATGCTGACCAGGCAGTGTGGGTCAGCACAGCCTGTCACAGGAATCCTTAGTATCTTGGGACAGGCATACCTAGAGCCACCTGAGGAAAACATCTCGCTGCATCCACGATAGTCTGGGGTCTTTGCCTACTCCACTAGGCTCACCTCGTGAGGCAGAAAATATTAGTGCCCTTAATTCTCCATTGCAACTGCCTTTGCCAACATCTCAAATGGCTCGGGTTTGTCCCTGAGTGCCCTGATGACAGAGAAAGGCCTGACTTCAAGGAGGAGCCTAGAGGTGGCAGCTGGAACCTCACAATGTTATTTCTCAGAAGCTGCTGGGAACTCACACTAAACATCTTTGTGTGTGTCTCTATTCCTCATTCAACATGAGAACAGAAAAGAAACTTCATCTTTCATGAGTATCAGCTTACCCTTTCCATCTGCTGGGTGTGAGCGGGGTCACTTCTCACATTTAATAATTGAATAAACCTTGAGGCAGCTAATATTTGCATAAAGCAGGGTTTTAGGTGCCAGAGTTACTGAGATAAGTTCTTGCCAGCATCATTGAATGGCAGAAGAGTGAAAAAAATTTACACACAAATAACCTTAGCCCTTGTCCACTTGCTTCCTGTAGATCGTGAACTCTACCACTATGTCATCCTTATCCCTAGGGCATCGTGCCCTAGGACGTGGCACATGATCAACAAGTGTTTGTGGAAAGAGGGAATGAATAAATGAATGCCTGAATGATTGATAGACACAAAGTAAGAAATGGTAAGTTCCACAAGAGGTAATATAAAAATAACAGCTTATATTTACTAAACACTTCCTACACGCTTTTTACTGTCCACATTTCATGTTCACAGTAACCCTATGAAGTAAGGTACCATTATTATCATCATTTTATAGATGAGGAAACAGAGTCACAGAAAAGTGGAAGAACTTGCCCAAAGTCAGTCAGCAGGAAAGGATGGAGACAGGATTCAAAGCAAAGAAGATGACTCTCAATCTTACGTTCTTAACTGAAAATACGCAACCAAGCAGACTTTGTGGCTTGATTACCCTACAGGCCATTCCTCCTGACTCTCGCCTGTCTGCCTAAAAGGAAAAAAATTATAAACAGTCTAAGCCAATTTATCTAACTTTTTGGCATAGATCTCCTTTCCCAGAATCCTTTTCTACTCAGGATGACAACGAGACACAGTTCTAACCAATGAGGCATAAGGGGAAGTCTGCTGGTGGGCTGTGGGAAATTTTTTTGTCTCCTAATCAGAGGTCCATACCTGAGGGAAAAAAGCTTGCTAGTGCCTCTCCTTCAGTTTTTTCCTGTACTGAAAACAGACATAATGCCCAGCTATGTGGAAGCTATCTGGGCACCACAATCAATAAGCACAATCATGAAAGGCCAACATCTAAGGATGGTGAGACAGAAAAGTGAAAGAAAGAGGATCCCCAAAGACACCACTGAGTTGCTAAACCAGCCCTAAAGCCGCTTACCTCCAATCTTCTTGTTAAGCGAGTCAATAAATATCCTTATTGTTTAAGCCACTGTTAGCTGAGTTCTGTTATTTGCCTGACTGATCCAAGCATCAGGAAAAATTCATGAAAAGGATAGTGCCACAGCTGTGCCATAGAGGATGGGATAGCCTTTCAATATGCAGAAATGGGGAAAGATATACTAGACAGAGGAAATAATGCCACCATGGATAGGGACAAGATACATACATAAGATTATCCCTTAAAGGGCAACGACCATCTTTCTGCAAATCAGTATGAGGACAGCTACGATGATGCTCTTTTATTAATTTGGTGGCTTTGGAGACCATATGGTTTAGCATAGTGCTTCTCAGTGTGGTTCCTGAGCCAGCGTCAGAATCACCTGACAACCCATTAGAAACAAAAACTTGTGCCTGCTCCAGACCCGTTGAATCGGAAATGCGGGGAGCCAGGCTGAACAATCTGTATTTTAACACACCCTCCAGGTGATCCTGATGCCCACTCAAGTTTGAGTTGCCCTGGTTTAGCATCTAGAGAGAAGCTCCGGTACATTAATTATTGTCCTATTCTGCCACCAGCTCCTGTTGGCCTTGACTTCCCTTAGTAGGGAAAGTTCACTGAGCTCCTGCCTACAAAATACTGCAGGGAAGTCAGGCTCCAGGTGCCCCCAGCCCACAGTAAATCCTCCCTCACTGGACCAAGCCTGGGTTTGTAACTGGGAGCTGGAATGGGGACAGACATGACAAGAGATTTTCTCATATTGAGGTATATGGGGTAACAGTTCGGGTTCAGAACTGATTCAGCTTGAACTTAAAAGCCTGACTTATGGCCTTTCAACCATACGTTGTACATCTGCTTAACCATTAAAGAATGCACTCCCTTAAGATAAGAATGCAGACTTCCCCTCCTCCGCCCTATTGCTAACTCCAGATTAGTCCCTTTCGTGACATGAGGGCGATGTTGACTTGCTAATTTGCAACCAAATACCTCTTTAAATTTTGATGAAAATGTATCCTGGGTGTGTTTAATGTATGTTCTTTGTTCTAGAAAGACATAAGATTGAACTGAAAGCCGTGCTTCTCCAGAACGCCCTCTAAGGCCTTCCTGGGTTATAATCTTCACTCTGGCTCATAATAAACTCACTCCAATTTTGATTTATTGGTTGGTTATGGATTATTTGCATCAGCAGATGGAATCCTGCAGCTCACCTCTCCTTCAAAATGGATGCCTCTTCCAGGGTGGCCCCTGCCCAATGGTGGGCTTTGAAGAATAGAGACTGTGTGTAACGGTGCTGGGGAGAAGAGTGTGAACCATGTAGCAAAAGCAAGGGGGTGAGCCAGTTCATTTTCCTGAGGAAACGGAGCAAATGGGGGCTAAAGAATACAGCCAAGAAAACCTCACTATGAATCTCATTTCCCGTTTGTAAAGTAAAAGTGATAGTGATTCTGTCACCAACTAGTTGCCCTGAGGAACTCCAGATTGGTTCAGATATTTTAACTGTTCTTCCAAATTGTTCTTTTTCCTTTCGTTATGTTAAGGAGATGTAATCACCAACCACCCTGAACCAGACCAAGCCTCAACTATGACCTTTGCCTTATTTTTAATGCTGAGATCTCTCCAGGAGGAGCTTAGGCCTTATTCCTGTAACCTGCAGTGTGTGTGGAAGCAAGTTTCCAGCTGAGTCTGCACAAGCGAATACCCCCCTCTCCCTTTTGAATAGTCATTCTCCATCTGAAATAAATGTCCCTGCTACCCTTTGTTCGGGGACGCCATGACTTCAGAAATGATTCCTTTTGGTCTCCTGTTTGCTGCAAATACCCTTTACTTTGAGAGACAACCACTTCTGGTGGAGAGTCTGATTTAACTTGCCAGGAGGGAATCCATTTGGGTTTCAGTAACAGTACAAGTTGTTAAGTGAAAGAAGCCTTTTCATGATGCCCTTTATAGGAAATATCCAGAATAGGCAAATCCACAGAGACAGAAAGTAGGTTAGTGGTTGCCAAGGGGTAGAAGAGGGGGAAAGGGGAATGAAGAGTGACTTCTAATAGGTATAGGATTTCTTTTGGGGTGATGAGAATGTTCTTGAATTAGCAGTGGTATTTGCACAACTCAGTGAATATACTAAAATCTCTTGAATTGTACATTTTAAAAAGATGAATTTTAGGGGCCGGCCCGGTGGTGCAGTGGTTAAGTTCGCACGTTCCACTTCTTGGCGGCCTGGGGTTCGCTGGTTTGGATCCTGGGTGCGGACATGGCACCGCTTGGCACACCATGCTGTGGTAGGCGTCCCACATATAAAGTAGAGGAAGATGGGCATGGATGTTAGCTCAGGGCCAGGCCTCCTCAGCAAAAAGAGGAGGACTGGCAGTAGTTAGCTCACGGCTAATCTTCCTCAAAAAAAAAATAAATAAATAAAAAATAAAAAGATGAATTTTATAGTATGTGAATCATGCCTTCATTTCAAAAAATGAATTGAGTTGGGTCTCTATTTGTGACTTTTAGAAATGAATAGGACCTTAGAGATCCTAATCCACTCTTTCCATCTCCACTTTACAGATGGGATAACTAATGCCTTGTTTGGAACTCATCTGAGGAAAGTACCATTGTTCGTGTTGCTAAGAGAAGGAGCCACTTGCACTGTTGAACCTTGTCACCTAAAGCTGTTCCTTTTTCAGACTCCCAAAGAATGTCCCTGCCCAGTGATCACCAACCTGAGGGCACTCACCTCCACAACAAAGGACACAATAAAATTGGAGCCAAGCATAATGATGATGTAGACCCTCCACAGGACAGGAGTGCAGAGCAGCTGGTGGGAGAGGAAGAAGCAAAGTTAGTCTGAAGACAAATATATGCTGGAAAAACATTCACATGTTCACAGCGCACATTTCCGTAGGTTATAAATCACTTATGTAACAGACACATGCATATATATATATATATATATATATATATATATATATATATATATTACATATATACATGTTATATACACATATACATAAATATAAATACATTATATATATATTTCTGTGCATGTATGAAATTGCATGATCCCAATGATTGGGAACTATGACTATTGGTTTTTTATTTATTTATTCTTTTAAAGGTATGTGCTTTTTTTTGGTGAGAAAGATTGGCCCTGAGATAACATGTGCTGCCAATCTTCCTCTTTTTTTTTTCTCCCAAAAGCCCCAGTATGTAGTCGTATATCCTAGTTGTAAGTCACTCTAGTTCTTCTATATGGGATGCCACCACAGCATGGCATGGTGAGCGGTGTGTAGATCCGTGCCCAGGATCTGAACCAGTGAACCCCGGGCCACCGAAATGGAGCGTGCAAATTTAACCACTCGGCCATGGGGTCGGCCCCTTGTTTTTTTTTCTTTTATCTCTTCTTCTTCTTCCTCTTCTTCTTCTTAGTTCCTCTGTAATTTCTAAGCTTACTAAAATAAATTTGGTCACTTTGCAATAAAAAATAATAATAAAAGTGTTTTTTGTGTGCTTATGTTGTTCTGTTGTTATGTGGCTCTGTTCCCTGGAGGCTCTGAGGGCACACGTGTCAAACTTCCACACAGGCAGCATTGCCTTCTTCTCTCTGGTGCCATATCTCCCCTCAGCTGAGCCCTGCTTTTGACCCTAAGGTCGGGGGGCCCCCTCAGGACTGTGCCTACAATGGCACAAACTGTGACATCACAAAGGTGCTCACCAACGGAAGAAGTGGGGCTGAAAACAAGTTGTCACTACTGTCTCTGCTCCCAGTTTCTCTGTATCTTCCCCAGTCCCTTTCCAGGCACTGGAATATCCATATTGAATGGATATTGAATATGGATATTGAATGGGTAGATGAGTGAATGAATGAATGAATGAAATGAAGCCAAGTGCACTCTATTGTACCTGGCACTGCCTCATACACTGGGGGGAGTAAAAACTGGTACAACTCTATAGAGATGCTGGTAAAATTGGAAGGTCAAATTCATTTCTAGGAATTTATCTTAGAGATATACTTGTACGTGGCTGAAATGACATATGTATCAGGTTATTTTACCTCAGCTTTGTTTGTAATAGTAAAAAATTGGAAACAAACTAAATGTCTACCAATAAGGGACTACATACAAATCATGGTACATATATACAATGAAATACCATATTAGCATAAAAAAAGAATAAGGAAGCCTTATGAACTGATATGGAACTGTTACGAAAATACACTGTCACATGAAAGAACAAAGTGCAGGACTGTGTGTGTGGTTGTGGCAACCATGAAAATGCTCCACTCGGGACTTCTGCTGCAGGAAGGATAAACAGCAGATGTGCCACTGCTACACTCACCTGAAGGCCCCATTTCCCATGGGCTGCTCACAGCTACTAACTATGAGCAGGTCTTCCAATCACACTCATTCTTGCAAGACACTGGGCACCTTTGGTGGACAACTTTGGCTTGACTTTCTTAGAAGTGCTCTGCAGTCTGAAACTCTACTCACGTGGCCCTCCTTCCTTCCCTCTCTCCTGCACAGGGGTCGGACCCACGTCATAGTGTGGCGCCCTTACCACCTCCTCTGCCTTCCTAATCTTTTCTCCTTCACAGGGAATTCCTCCAATAACTTTCTTACACATCTCATCTCACCCTGACATCTCCATCTCAGGAGACCTGGACAAAGGTAATAGTTTGCTACTACTTGTGTAAAAATGTGGGGGAATACACATATAAGAAATATATATATTTGTGTATATATGTATAAAATGTCTGAAAGTATGTAAAATAAACTGTGTCATCAGTTGCCTTCAGAGAAAGGAAGTGGCAGCTGAAGAACAAGGATGAGAAGGAGATTTTTGCTATATAACTTTTCTACCCATTGAATTTTAAGCCATGTGAACGTATTCTCTATTAAATAAAATCATGCATTTTTTCCTTTTTTTTCTGCTTTTTTCTCCACAAATCCCCCCAGTATATAGTTGTATATTTTAGTTGTGGGTTCTTCTAGTTGTGGCATGTGAGACGCCACCTCACCTTGGCCTGATGAGTGGTGCCATGTCCGCGCCCAGGATCCGAACTGGCAAAACCCTGGGCCGCCAAAGCGGAGCACGCAAACTTAACCACTAGGCCACAGGGCCAGCCCTAAATCATGCATTTTTTAAAATAAGCAATAACTAGATTATAAAACAGCATGATTATATTTAAAATGAAACAAACTTCATCAATCAGTCAATGCACGTTTATAATATCTGAATTTTCAAAGATGGAAGCATATAGTGAATAATGTTAAAATTTTCCTTGCTTATATATTCACGTTTTTGAAAAGGTATCCATAATTTTATGTAATAGGAAGAAAAATAATTATTTTTAAGGTGAACAATAATTCTTTGCAGACTCTTTTGGAGTCATGCTGGCAATGACCCACACAGGTTCCCTCCAAACCAAATATGTTCCCTATTTTGTTATACCAGAGGAGCCAGCATCTCTGAAAGAGTCTTCACTATTGGAGTATGACTAAACCGAACATGTGTTAACCTTAACTTCTGCAGGATTAAGAAGTTTTAACTCACTTAGAAGATGAGTGGGCAACGACTGTTTATCTTTGTGAGTACTTAATCTAATTCAGGAGGACATTTAACAACAAAGGCAATTGCACTTTTAACCACAGTAATACAATTAGAAAAATAAAAATTGAAGGTGGACGTTAGTTTATGTGTCAGATATCTAGGTGGATTTGTGAAGGTATTGCTGGTTTGGAAGGCACTGTGTGCACCAAGTGTTTGTCTACATCCAGGAAACTGATATACGATGACCAGTCAGTCACTCATTGCCATTATGTGCCATTTGCTATGCAAGGCACTGGTCATACAAAAATGAGTAAGATAGGATCTTGGCCCTCATGAAACTTATCTTTGAGATAGAGAGGCAGGTAGGCAGGTTCACGAAGCACCATTCCTTTCATCATCTCTTCTGTATTCTATGTATTGGTCTAAAGGATATTTAGTCATGATTAACCTAAAGGATAGGTTAGAGGAATCAGAATACATATTTTCCCTTGCTTGAATATATAAAATGTCCGTCTCTTACAGAGTTTCAAAGTTGTCTCAAAATCTAAGAGAGTTCATGAGGTAAGGTATGGCTCTTTGAAAGTAAGTTTTGCTGACATCAAGTATGAACATACAGAAAAGCACATTTTTAAAGAGGTAAAAAAAAAAAAGATGGAAATATAGACCTGAGAATTAACCAAGAAAGTGTTATAGGCAAAACTGTTTTAAACAGCTTCAAAACAGAAGCATTTAGGGGGAAAATTCTCTCACGTTTGATATTATAAATAGATTTTCCAGTCTTAAAGGGATCTTTTAAAAGAAAAATCTTCAATGCTTTTGAAATACTTGAATTCAAGACTAGGAAGAAGGTTATTTCCTGAGCAGCTTAAATAAAAAATATGAATAAATTCAGCATTCTTTTTAAATCTACTATCCCAAAAGAACAATCAATGTCAAGAACCCATGTCAATTACAATTGTGACCTGCTTTTTGAAGTCAGGGTGTTATATAACCGTAAACCATCATTGTATCCCAGAGATAAGACTTACATCCAAACGCCTATATAATTCTGGAATATCAGCAAAGAGAATGAACAGACACACACCCAGTTGTATGACCAACACAAGGACAAATATATCTGAGGAAAGAAGAACACAGCTGTCATTTTGAGAAACCAGAAGATCACGTCTGCTGATAGACATATTCTAGATTAACACTGACTAAATTTACTTGATTTCCACATCCAAACACAGCATAATAGATGGAAAGTACTCATTTCTATGCAGTGGGTCTCATCACTACAATTTCTACGCATGTGCTTGAGGCAAGTGGAAATTTTCAGATACATATTATAAGTTTCAATTAATAAAAGTGGGAATTATACAAAGGGTAACATTGACAAAATACATTTTCAATAAATGTCTTAAAGATATCCAAGTATTTGAATCTCTTTAATGCAAATCATCTGCCTCGAATCCTTTTCTGGGAAAAAGGAGGGCTGTAAATAAACAAATGTATACATTGAAATCATGTAGAGGTCAGCATTCAACTGCTTTCTCATTCCAAGAAGGAGAAGGACAAAGTAAATGTCTCTGAACAAGCAAATTTTATAAGGATATTGATTCTTCAACTTGTGCATCTAAATTTCCCCAGTTACAGGGGTAGTGATTGGCTCACTAGGTAGCTCACTTCTAACACACATTCCCACCCCCAGCCTAGAATGGAAGGAGGTGGGAAGTACTTTGGCCAAGAGCCTCCACACTCATCTCTGGTCAGGTTCCTCCAGGCTGGACCCATTCTCAGTCTACCAACCACACAATGCCATCCTGACCATTGTCTTCACGGCAGGAGACACATTCCAACTAAATGCCATGACTCTTCTCCCCACCTCCTCCAGGATGAATTCTGACAAGTACTGACAAGCAGAGAAATAAATGAGTCTTCCCAGTTTGGAGTGATCCCATGAAAAGAGCTACAGACAAACTTCTGGTGAAGGCAAGAGGTGGAGAAAGAAACCTTAGTATTTAGTGCAGCTTTGAGGGAAGGACCAAAGGATCACGAGAATGAGGCTGCACAACGTGTTTGACAGGGCCCTGGAAAGATAGCCAGGAGACCCTAGATAAGTATCAACTCTGCAGCTGTTCCCTGAGTGACCCGGGTGTGTCTGTCCTCTCTGATGATCTCTCACCTGTGATCTGGTGCAGTTCTACTCACAGTTTGTATAGGTCGGCTGCCTAAATGGTTTTCCTTTAGAGAAGATAAGAGCCACAGTGATACAGTTGATTGTTCCCAAGAACCATATAGTAGTGTTCTCAAAACTTGTGAAGTCACTATAACTTCCATTTTTTCCTGGAGCAGCTGGAGATATGGTTAACTTTGAGATGCTTTTATTTTGCACTGTGCAGGCACTGAAAAAAAAACAAAGAAGCTAATGAAGCAAGACGACAGGTCCTTATGGCGTATTTGTATCTACAAGCCTCCATGCCCTCAATGCTTCTAAAATTGCCTACATTTCAGGAAGGAATATACGGACAAATAGGGAGAAAGAAACCAGCACAGATAGATCTCTATTTAGGATATAGACAGACAGATAGATAGATAGATAGGTGGATAGATAGATAGATAGATAGATTTAACACTTATTTATTCAATAAACTGGGCACCAATCATGTATTAAGGCTATGTGGGAAAGAAAGAGATGAGTAAGCTATGATTCTTGCCTCTAGTGGCTTAAGATCTCTGCACATTTATAAGTAGGGTGACCATATAATTTATCATCCAACAAGAACAGATTTGAATGTGAAAGGAAAGACTTTCATAATTTCATTGAGATACCAGGTTTAAACTGGGGCTGTCCACACAAACTATAATGCTTGATCACCCTAGATATAAAAGATGGTCATAGATTCTTATCATACAAGAGAGGCAAAGATAAGTGCCAATGAAATGATCATCAGACTGTGCCACAGAGAAGAGAAGATTGCTGGAAAATTATCCAGGGGACACAAAGAAGCCAAAGCCTTTGGAAGAATGAAGACCCATTTGCCTCCCGTCACATGGGCCAGATGACGTTTGATAGAAATTAGAATATGAGAAGCTAAAATCGTGGCTGTGATCCTACCTCTGCATCTCCATGGAATACCAAGGCTGCCTCTGAACCAGAATGAAGCCCACAATGTGCATGGCCAGGCTGAGGAGAATGTTGAGAATCACAGAGAGCAGCAGAGGTGGGGAGACGAGCCGTCCTGCAGGTCTGAAAGGCACGAGCTTGGGGTAGGCACCATTCAAATTCACTACAAAATAAATTCAAGTTTTATATTTATGAGAGCAGGAAAACATATCCTTCCTCAGAAGGATGGTGTAACTTCTTGTGCTCACACATCTAAGGAGATTGACAAGTTGAAGTACATCACAAACTGAGGGAACAAAACAATGAACGGATTCAAACTCAAGTCATATGAGGAATTCTTAAGAGAGCAGAGACAGCACAACACAAGAGGCCTTTGTTTTGCCTTTTAAATGGGCAAAGACTATTAAATTATAGGGGAGAGAGTGATAAAATGCATACTCTCACACATTGCTTGTGGGAATGTAAATTGACACACACCTTCTGCACAGCAATCTGGTAACAAATATGAAGAGATTGAAATGTTTGTAACTTTTGACATAGTTATTCTACTTCTGGAAATTTGTCCTAAGCTAGAAAATCAAAGATGTAGAAAGATGTTCATCACAGCATCATTTATGATAAATTACGGTACATCTATATAATGGAACAAAGTGCAGTCACTAAGAAGCAATGCTTCAAAATATTTAATGACAAAATGAGGAATGGCATCAGCAAAATGGCAGAGTAGGCAGCTCCAAGATTCCATCCTCCACAGACATCAAACAACAAGCAGAAACCGTCAGAACCAACTTTGTCAGAACTCTAAAAAATAGACAAAGGTTTATAGCAATCAACCAAATGCTGAATCAAGAAAAAGGCAACTTGACAACAGCAGGAAAGCTTTGTGGCATTTTTACTTGCCTTTGCCCCAACCCCTCCTCAACTCAGTTGCAATCTTGAAGATGTAGCCTGCATCCCCAGTGGAGGACCCTGGTCCCTGGGTACAGAGGGGAAAGAGCAGGCTTGACCCACAAATTATTGTGCAGGTCTGTTCTGACCAGTCTGGGGGTTACCTGAAGGACTGGTGCAAGGTGCTCGTCTCTGTTTCACCTACTATAAAACTCACTCAGGGCGGAAAAGCAGCATACACTGCTTGAAAACATTGTAAGGCTAACAAACTATCTGTAGTCACCTCAGGTGAAAGATTACAGTTGAGAAATAAAATAACTGCCTAAAGTCTGGCAAGAAAAGCTAAAGAAAGTTTCTTTGGGAAATTATAGCATTCAAAACCATCTGTGTATTTTGGGAAACATAGAAAGCCATGTATATGCACAGGGCAAGAGGTATGCTCAGAAAAGACCACCAGAAAAGACCCTAAGGTTTCAGCTCTGGATCTCTAGACTCAGCACAAACCTGGCTAAGTGTTGAAGTGCACCCCACGGAAAACATCTGCAAAGACTGGGAGAAGTATTTCTTTGCTCATGTTTTTAAACTCATAGAGTTCAAGGAAATCTCTGTCAAAACACTAGCTTAACAAAAGCTAAAGGAATGGAGATGTCAGTGACCACATATGACAATCAATACAGTCTTTGCAAAAATAGTTTAGGAAAGTCTCTAAACAAACAGATTACTGCAGCCTTCAAAAAACATCAAGCCTTGGGAAAGGGGAAGAATCTGATTTCCAGAGTCACGACGCTACAAAACTCAATGAAAGAAAATAAATAGAAAAAAATTATCTCTGAGGAAGCCCAGACATTGGACTTACTGGGCAAAGATTTTAAAACAACAGTTTTAAATATGCTCAAAGAACTAAAGAAAAGCACAGACTAAGAACTAAAGAAAATCAGGAACACAATTTATGAATGAAATGAGAATGTCAATAAAGAGATCAAAATTATTGAGGAGCCAAAAGAAATTCTTTTTAAAGCTCCTTTTAATAATTTCGATCTCTTTATTGACATTCTCATTTTATCCAGTAAAAGTAATTATTTGGGCAAATATAAAAGCCTGTATTACTGCACTTTTGGTTTTTAACTCCACTTTTTATTCCTACATGATTTAAAAGACAAATTCATAACAAATAATTATATATCTATGTTATTGGGCACACGATGGATAAAGATGTAGTTTGTTACAACAACAAGAACATAAAAGAGAAGACAGAGTTATAAAGCAGCAGAATTTTCACAATCTATTGAAGTTAAAGCATCAATTCAAATTCGATTGCTATAAATTTAGGATGTTACATGTAATCTCTGTTATTGTATATTATGCAGTGAAAAACCCAGCTAACATCATACTTAAGGGTGAAAGACAGAAAGCTTTCCCCCTAAGATCAGGAACAAGACGAGGACACCCACTTACACCACTGCTATTTGACATTGTACCAAACATTCTATCCAGAGAAATTACAGAAGAAAAAGAAAAGTGATCCAAATTGGCAGGAAGCAGTAAAGCTATCTCTATTCTTAAATGACATGATCCTATATGTTGGAAATCCCAAAGAATCCACAAGAAAGCTACTGGAGTTATAAACAAATTCAACGCTGTTGCAGGGTATAAGATGAACATATAAAAATTAGTTGTCTTTCTATACATCGGCAATGAACCATTTAAAAAGGAAATTAAGGAAACAATCCATTTTCAACAGCACTCAAAAGATTAAAAATGCCTAGAAATAAATTTAACTGAAGAGGGAAAAGATTTATACACTGAAAACTACAAATCTTTGCTGAAAAAAAATTACAGACGACATAAATCAACGGAAATACATTCCATGTTCATGGATTGGAAGACTTAACATGGTTAAGATGTCAAAACTACACAGAATAATTTACAGATTCAACACAATCCCTACCAAAATTTAAAGGCCTTTTTTTTTTTACAGAATGGAAAACTGATCCTCAAATTCATGTCAAATTGTAAAGGGCCCTGAATAATCAAAAAATCTTGAAAAAGAACAATATTAGAAAACTCACACTTCCTGATTTCAAACGTACTACAAAAACAGTAATCAAAACAGTGTGGTACTGGCATAAGGATACATATAGACATAAGGGTACATGTAGACAAATGGAATAGATTTGAGGGTCCAAAAATCTATGGCCCATACATCCACGGCCAACTGATTTTCAACATGAGTGTCAAGACTATTCAATGTTGGAGAGAACAGTCTCTTTAACAAATGGTGCTGAGACAACTGGATTTCCACATGCAAAAAAGAAAAAAAAAAGCGAAGTTGGACCTTAACCTCACACCACATATAGAAATTAGCACAAAACTGGATCATGAGCTAAAAACCATAAAATTCTTAAAAGAAAGCATTGGGTAAATCTTCATGACATTGGATCTGGCAATGGATTCTCAAATATGACACCAAAAGCATGAGCAACAAAAGAAAAAATAGATAAATTGGACTTAATCAAAATTAAAATTTTTGTACATCAACAGACATCAAGAAAGTGAAAAAAACCATATAGAATAGGAGAAAACTTCTGCAATCACATATCTAAGATTTTAATATCCACGATATATGAAGAACTCAACAACCAAAAGACAAAAATCCAGTTAAGAAATGGGCAAAGGACTTGAATAAACATTTCTCCAAAGAAGACATACAAATGGCCAATAAGTTCATGAAAAGATGTTCAACATGATTAGTCATGGTTAAATAACAAGTCATAATTACTGGTGAAAATGTAAAATGATATAGTCACTATGGAATAAAGCTTGATGGTTTCTCAGAAAGTCAAGTTTATGATTACTATACCATGCAGCAATTTCATTCCTATACCCAAAAGAATTGAAAACAGGGACTCAGATACTTTATGCAATGTTCATTGCAGCCTTATTCACAATAGCCAAAAGGTAGAAGCAACCTAAGACCATCAGCAGATAAATGGATAAACAAAATGTTGTATATACACATAGCGGAATATTATTCAGCCATAAAAATGGAATGAAGTTCTGATACATGTTATGACATCAACAAACCTTGAAAACATCATGCTAATTGAAAAAAGCCGGATACAAAGGGACAAATACTGTATGGTCCAGCTTATATTAAATATGTTGAATAAGCAATTTGTAGAAACAAAAAGTCAATTAGAGGTTGTGAGAGGCTGGGAAAGGGGCAATAGGAAGTTATTGCTTAATAGGTACAGAGTTTCTGTTTGGGGTGATGAAAAAGTTTTGGAAATAGATAGTGGTGATGGTTGCAAAACATTGTGAATATAATTAATGCCCCTGAACTAGAAAATTGTGAAAATGGAAAATTTTATATTATATATATTTTACAATAAAAAAGAATTAAAATATTTAATAACATTAAAAAGCAGTTATAAAGTTAAATGAAAATGCACAACTATGTAGAGAATAAAATTCAAATTTCTTAATTTATATATACAAAAAAAGAAAAAAACATCAAAACACTTTAATTGGTTAGCTCTGGATAGTAAAATAAAAATGGGTTTTCTTCTTTGTTATATAATGCAGTGTTTCCCTTCTTCTTTTCACAATGAATATATGTTAATCACTCATAAAAACAGAAAAGAATCAAGTTATTTATCAAAAAATGGAGAAAAACCTGGAGATACTTGTTCTGGAGAAGAGAACAATCACAAAAGAAATGAGAGCTGTTTTCAGATACCTGAAGGACTGTCCTGGGGAGAAAAATCAGACTATTCTGTGCCCCCCAAATAGCAGAACTGGGATGGGTGAAAGTCACACAGAGATAGCTTGGTCTTGATGCGAAGAACTCCGTTACCAGCAAGGACTGCCCAAGGGTATTCTTTCAATAGATTTAATGAACATTTAATGAACTCCTTTGATAAGACAGGCACTCTTAGAAGTATTAGGAAAACAGCAGTGACCCAGACAGACAAGGTACTTTTCTCATGAAGCGCACACTCTAGGTGAGGGGAGACAGGCAAAAGCAAATAAAAACATATGTTCAGTGCAGCATTATTCACAATAGACTTGGAAACAACCTAAGTTCCCATCAATGGAAGAATGGATAAAGAAGATGTGGTGTATATACACAATGGAATACTACTCAGCCATAAAAAGATGAAATCTTGCCCTTTGCAACAACACAGATGAACCTTGAGGGTGTTATGCTAAGCAAAATAAGTCAGATGGAGAAAGTCAAATACCATATGGTTTCACTCATAAGTGGAAGATGAAAACAACAATAAGAACAAACAAATACACAGATAAAGAGATTAGATTGCTGGTTACCAGAGGAGAACGGGGAGAGAGGAGGGTGAAAGGGGTATGGGGCACACGGGTTTGGTGATGGATGGCAATTAGTCTTTGGGTGGTGAACGTGATGTAGTCTACACAGAAATCAAAATACAATGATGTACACCTGAAATTTATATAATGTTATAAACCAATGTTATCTCAAAAAAAAAAAAAGAACACAGCAGAATTGTGTGACGCAGAATAATTAACTATTTAAAGTGACCTTTCCGAGGTGATGACATTTGAGCTAAAGTCTGAATAATAAGAAAAAGTCAAAGCCATATGAAGATCCAAGGGAAGAGTATTTTAGGCAAATAGCAAAAGCAAAGGCACTGAGGTGACCACAAGCTTGGCCATGCTTGAGACACAGAAAGACCAGGGTGCCTGGGACGAGTAAGCAAGCAGCAGTGTGGTTAGAGGTGAAGTTAGAGAAGTGGGAAAGAGCCAAAGCATGTAAGACCTTGGATTTAGTGGAAATGGGAAGCCACTGGAGCATTTTAAGCAAGAGAATGACAATAAAATTTACATTTTAAAAATAACACTCCTACTACTGTGTGAAAGGTACATGAGGAGGGAGGGGAAGGCAGTAAGTGTGGAACAAGATCAGTTGTAAGCTTATTACAGTAATCCACAAGAGAGGTGACATTGCTTTGTGACGGTGGCTACAGTAGAGGTGGAGAGAAGGGACGCAGGATCTATTTTAGAGGTGGAGCCAATGAGAATTTCATATGTATTGGATGTGAAGGGTAAAGAAAAGAGAGAAATTAAGAATGACTCCAGGTCTTTGAACAACTAGGTAGATGGTGGTGCTATTTTAACAGAATGTAAGCTGAGGAAAGGAATTTCTACTTATTGTTTTTTCACTGATGTATTCCAAGCGTCTATCACAGTAAGTAGTACAAAGTAGGCACTCAGCAAATACTTAATAATTTTGTTAAATATCAGGTCTAGTGGAATAGACTTTCGTTTGGGCATTTTAAGTCTGCATCCTGCTAAATATGTAAGATCAGATGCTGAGTAGCTGCATTTCCAGAATTCAGGATGGGTATCAAGATATCCCGAGATATAAATTAGGGATTCATGAATATATAGATGACATTAAAGTCATAGGATTGGTTGAAATCACTTAGGGAGATGGTTTAGCTTGAAGAGACAAGAGAACCCAAGAACAAGCCTTGAAACATTCTCAAAGTTAGAGGACAAGTAAACGAGCAGAGGCCAGCAAAAGAGATGGGGAAGCTGCATTCATTAAAGTGATTGATAATCCAGGAGTATGTGGTACCACAAAAGCCAAGAGAAGAAATCTTTCAAGGAAGGAGAGTGCTGTTGAGAGATTCAAGTACAATGAGAAAAGAGAAGTGGTCACTTGTTGACAGCAAGGAAGTCATTGGGGGGCTTCCCGAGAGCAGGTTCAGGGGGGCGGCAGCTGAAGCATAGATAGAAGGTGCTTCCCTTGAGCACATTCTCCAATAGCAGAGCTTTTGAACAAGTTTGTAAAATGATAAGTTGGCATCATAGCTGTTAAGATTATGATGAGAAGATATAAGAGGAAATAGTGCGAAAGCAAGACCATGAGACACGTACAAGAGGCAATCTAAGAGTGGTACTTTTTAATGCGTCAGTAATGTGTACCCTCCCAGCCAGTGGTGGCTGAGCTGGCTCTTACTGGCTCACAAGGGCCAACTGCTGCTAAATTTGCAAGCCAGTAATTAAACATAGGCTTTATTAAAAGCAAACTAGATAAACTTACAATTAAATAAATATATTAAAAACAAAGATAATGAATACTCAAAATTCTTAACTTCCTAATTATTTTACAACGTTTCAGTATTACCTATGTTCTAGAAGTTAATAATAGAGATTAAATGTAAAAGTATGTCACTTCGGTAGCCATGACATCATAAACAGTTTTGTTCAAAACTAAGGAAATAGTCTTCCAGCATTCAAGAACTATTATGTCATTCAGAAAATAAGTTGCTCAAATCGCCAACGAAGGATTAAAGTTTCGACATAGGTCTTGTTTTGCTCGTACAGGGAAAGAAAAACATCAACCAGCATTCATGGTGAAACTAATTCAGTCATCAATTGCAACCACGGGTTGACTATGGATACAAGAATTTGGCAAAACTCAGGGAAAGCATTCTGAGAGAAACAAGCGGCTGAATGGAATTTGCAAGAAAGAGTAGTGTATATTTTATTATTATTTGAAAATTGCTTATGACACATTTTTCTTTTCAGTGAAGTTAATAATAAACTTCCGTGCATATATATACAAATATTTTTTTGGAGAGCCAGTTGTTAAACATTTGACAGCATACCACTCCCTCCCACCTAACAACAGCACAGGCCCAGCATCCATATTCATGCCCTTGAATGTTAGCATCTGGCTGATTGCAATGAAACGACAACAGAATTAGAGATGCCAAGTAGAGAAAGCGGGTATACACAACTGTTTGGGAGGTTTGAGAATAAAGCGGACAGCAGCTAGCGGTGGATTTGGGGTCAAAGAAGAATTCTTAAAGGAAGAAGATACAAAAATATATTTATATGCTGATGGGAATGACCCAGTAGACCAGCGAAAAGTTGTTGATGATGGAGAAAGAGATGATTACAGGACCAAAGTCCTCAAGGAGGTAGGAGGGGGCAGAATTAAGAGTACAGGTGGAGCTCTTGGCATTTATACGTAACAGAGAGCAAAGGAGAGAATATGGTCGAGATGATGGTTAGTAGGGGGCTGGGGGAAAATCCCATAGCAGGGAAATTCAGGTGAGAATTCATATATTAGCCAGGAGGAGGCAGGTGGAAGTGGCATAATAGCAAGATTACCTTTAATCTCTGTTCTAAATCCTGAGAGGCTAGGATTTGGAGATAGAAAACATAAAAGCCACTGGCATCCATAAATTGGGCACATTTCAACTATACACCTAAAAGCATGCTGAAGTCAGTGTTCCTGATTTTCAAGGTGCTTTTTGCATTTTAAGTGTTTAGTGACCGTTTATGGAAATATTTTGTGGAAAACAGAAAAACAACTAGCCAGCTTTTCCTTTGCTAACACTTTCAGAATTAAAAAGTGAGGATTCTATTTCCTCTTTGTCTCTCTGTATCCACCTTTGGGAATAAGTCCCACATCACTGCTGCTACAGCTGCTGTCTCTCCCGTACCAAGCCTGCTGGGGTCAGGGAAGTAAGCGGAGGCCAGCACCTCTGGGAAGAAAGTTTTAAAAATGCCTTACTTGTTACACCAATAAGAGTTGTAATGGCCAGATCCTGGAACAGAAACTGGTAATTTGAAAGGCTGTTTGTCTCCTGAAAATAAAAAGGAAAGTGGCTCAAAAAAGTTGTGACCTTCTGGGTGAAGTTTGACGTCAATTGCATTCATTTTCTCACTGCAACATGGGATTTTCAAGTAAATTACCAAGCAGATGGTGTGATCAGGGTCCTGTTCACGTTGGTGGGAGCACTCAAAGACAAGGCTGTCAGGTTCTCTCTAACTAAGAGGATCACCCTTGTGTGCTTTCTGGGTGAGGTCCCTTGCGCATCAATGTCACCCCTTTTTGAGTGAAACGTCTCAGTCGAATACATTTATCTCTGCTCTATTTTCTAATTTTTAGCAAAAAAGTTGGGGTTTGGTCCGGCACAATAAAACAGTGCATTCCTAATAGTAACAAGTGACAAATGTGTCCTATTACCTAAATTTTACCAATGGAAAATGAGAATAACGGAACCCACTATTTGTATTCTTGGGTGTTCTTAGAAAGTCCTGATAAAGCACCTAGATATTCTTGAGGAAAAAATGGTCAGGTCTCACTGATTTCAAATAACCTTCTTCCTTGTTCCCCACCCCTTAGTGGAAAGGAGGTAATGATTACCCATGGTTAATTCTACTTTTAAGCAAGAATTACGTATTCCAAAATAGGGTCAAATTTCTAAAATAACCTCTTCTTCTCCAGCTCATTCACTGATGAGCAGGAAAAGACATAGGTAATCTGAAAATAACAGAACTAAAACCTTCAACCCAGGAGCAAGAGGGCACGACATAGACATGACTCTTGATATCTCCAGCACAAATAGAATTCACTTTCTCAGTTTTAGTTAACAGAAGCAGCTCACATGCTGAGCTCACAAACAACGATCATGTCTTCTCTCCTTTTATATTTTGCTAAATAGTGAAAGCCATCACAAGACCTACGTATTTTTTGCAGTATGATATGCCAATTTTCAAATCCCTATATTCAGGGAATCAGTGATATGCTGGCTCATGAGAGTCAGCTGCTAAATTTTTAGGAATTTTGTGATCTGGTTCTTAAACATAGCCAATATAAAAACTTAAATTATATAAATTTACCTTTAAATAAGTTGGACTAAAAACAAAGGTAATGAATACTCAAAACTCAGCACTTTCTAATCATTTTCCTACATTCTACTGTTATCTCTGCTCTTGAGGTTATTTACAGCTCTCATGTTTATGTGGTACGAGTACCACATAATGATATGTTACTATACGTCTCTTCTCAACTCCCTGTCTGGTGACATCAGGTAGACAACTTGAAACTAGCCAAGGTGAGAGTATTTACACCACTGAAATTGGCAAACATACATAATCAGGGCTTGTTTTTCCGGGGAGAGCCAGTTATGAAATATTGACCAGCCCCTGAGTCAGAGAATCATCTGTTTAATGGACGGTATGCTCAGGTAGAGCCACATTGGGATTGGGAAGTTAGAGACCTGGTCCAAGCAAGGGGAAAGCAACAGTGAGAGAGAAAGTGATACATTCAGTTCTGGTCCTCAGCCATCGTTAGCTAAAAAGCTTCCATGTCAGAGACTCAGAACATTGACACCAACAACTTTTCCTGTGTACCTGTGTCTATGTCTGATTTACTTTCAAAACTTTAAGTTTTAGAGGGGCTGTTGGTGCTTGAATATCCTATTTGCACTTTCTTCAAGATGCATTACAAATGGATAGCACGCCGCCACGTCTTTTAGTTCTCACTAACCAAGAAGCTAGGTCCCAAGTCATACCCAGTAGAGCAGCAGAACACCAACATACTGAATCATGCTGTACAGGGCCATGTACTTAAACATGCAAAATGAGGTCACGAGAGCTGCACGTCCTTCCCTGGGTGAGAAAAGAGATAAAGAAGCAATGAAATGACAGCAAGGGGAAGGAATGAGCTCAATTATTCTGTGCTGTTCAGCTGAGCTCAGGAGAAAAACATGTAAAGCCTGATTATTTGATTGTTTGTCTGACAGACTGGACAGCCTTGAGCCAGGAGAGCCGGCTGTCAGGATGCTCAATGACTGCATTTAGCATATTCCAGGCCAAGGTCCACAGGCCTTGGTGTAGCCCTGGAGCCCAGATTTAGAGCCACTCCCGTCCTCTCTGGGGGCATTATTTCAGCTCGGTGTCAGGGGATCTGGGCACTGGCTCCGGATCTCATGCCTACTCACTAACGTGATCTGGAAGGTCATTTCCCCTCTCTAGTCACAGTTCCTTTGTCTGTGAACCAAGGTATTTAAATAAGATCACAGGTTTGGAGGCTATTTTCATGCAGCTGCTTCAGAAATTTGGCAAACACTTCATTTAAATTTCATTTGGCAGTCCCAACTTTTTCTAAAACCGGGCTAAAAAAAATGCATGCTCAAAGTAGTCATCATATATGACTAATTGAAATAGACCAGAAACAGGCATGTTTATTTGCGTTATTGTTGATCAACTTTGAGGAAGTAGTACATATTTAAAGTATAAAATAGATTATTTGTGAAATGCTACTTGTACCTCTTTCATTTGGTGAAAAAAATAGAGTTGAAATTTGCTTCTGGTCATAATGCTTCCCTGGGATTCCAAAACTTGATCCTCAAACCAGGCTTTTTCCTGTATCAGGGCTTTGCTGCTGCCATTTGCTCCGCCTACAAGGTAGTTTCTGCTCATCCCTCACCTCGTTAGCCAGGCTTCTCCATACCACCTCATCTGAAGTGACCGATTCCACCTCCCCAGCCGTCCTCCTTCCTGTCACATTACCCTTGATTTATGTGTGCGTGTGTTTACTGCCCGACTTCTTCATGGAAAGAGAACTTCATGAGACACATTTGATTTCCTTGCTTCTGGGTTCCCACGAGCCTCCACCCATTCCTGGCACTAAGGGCCTACTCTATAAATATTTGTCAAATGCATTGAATAAAGAAATGAAAAAGGAGGAGGAGCTAACCAAATCAATATTTTCATGGTGGTGGAAAGCGTATGATAGATAAAACACATTTAAACTAAATCAATGCTAATACAAAATCCAATCCTATATGGCTGGGTGAGCTTGGGCACCTCAATTAAGGTCTCTAGGCCTCAATTTCTTTATTTGTAAAAGAAATAGTGACCATTCCTGCATCTCCAGGCTATTTTGAAGCATAAGACAATAGGCATTAAAGCACTTTATAAGCTGAAAATACATATTGGTTGTAATGATCCAAAGCAGCCATGATACTAACTATCTCTATCATTCTAATAAAATGTAGCAGAAGTACACACTCTGGGGACGAGGGGAGGGAACAACGCACCAAGGAAAATTTTAGTAGAAACAGCAAAGACAAATAAATACTTTGAAAACTGAGGATGGGAAGGATATTCCAAGGAGGGATAAAGAGGCTAGAAGAAAGGAAGGCAAGTGAGGGTGAGGAAGTTTCTGTCCATCCCCCATTAGAAAGCATCTAAGGAGATACGTTTAAAATAAGAAGAAGAACATGATTGACACTTTCAAAGCAGTAACAAGTTCCAGATTCCAATCTTCTAAAGTAACCAACTCAATGATTTTCAATAGAAATGCCACTGTTTTCCCAGGGTTATTATTATTATTATTTTTAGAGGAAGATTAGCCCTGAGCTAACATCAGCCACCAATCCTCCTCCCCTTGCCAAGGAAGACCGGCCCCAAGCCAATACCCACAACCATCTTCCTCTACCCTATATGTGGGATGGCTACCACAGCATGGCGTGCCAAGTGGTGCCATGTCCACACCTGGGATCCAAACAGGCGAGCCCCGGGCCACTGAAGCGGAACGTGCGAACTTTACCGCTGTGCCACTGGGCCGGCGCTCCCAGGGTTATTTTTAACTCCTGGTAAGTCCACTGGGGACTAGAATGTTTGACTACATTTTCCACGAAGCACCCTCCCTGCCCAGGGACACAAAGTTCCCCTGGTCTCTGCCTGGCAGAACAATGGGCTCGGCACCTAAAAGTCAGGAGAGATTAAGACAATGCTGGGTGGAATGTGCCTACTTACTTGATAAGGTGAGGTACGCACTCAATGTTTGGAGTTTTGGAAGTGAATGGCGAGGCCACAGATGCCTCCTGCTCTGATAAAGAGATGCCCGCGTGAGCCATTTTCAAAGCCTGAAAGCAAAGAGTCAGCTTACTGTCCACGCACACTCCCATACATCTCTCCTGAGGCCACATAAGAAAAGGCTGGCTAAGCCGGCCACGTGGCTCGTGGTGCCTCATGGCCTGTGGGCCCACGTACTAGCCAGGAGATGAGTGGATTTTGTTCTGCCTGCTGCATAAGAAAGAGATGGCACTGAGGCACCTAGCCAAAGAACACATGGGGACCCCAGAACCAAATTCTAACCCATTTAGTCTATACTGACCACTGAGTCATTGTGTGGCTTGAATCAAAACCTTCCCAAACCCTCAATATCAGTTTCTCCATCAGGAAGAGTGGAGGTGGTATATATTCCAGGAGATCCTATCTCCAAAGGGCTCCAGGCAAGTACAGTTGAGTACTGTGGCCCCACACGCTGGCAGCTACTTACCCCACAGTCATTGGCTCCATCTCCGCACATACCTACAAAATAACTAAAAGAAAGCCATGTCAATTGTAGAGGAGATCAAAGCAATCTTACTTGCTTATTTCTCTAATTCAAAAGATAAAACGAGCTTTATTCCTTAGGTTTCAAACTTATTTATTTTAAGAGAGTTTCCTAACAGTCTGGCTTGACTAAAGGTAAGGTGGGACTCAGCAGTTCCTAGAATGGATTAAGAAGTCTAGCTACCCCTCCTGCCCGTGTTTCAGGGAGACCCTGCACTCCACTGCTTAGGAAGCAGCTTTGTCAGCTGAAACCAGGGATGCTCACAATTTGGATGGTGAGACAGCATGGCATGGTGAAGAAGGCACAGGATTTGAAGCAGAAGATCCAGATCTTTGATCTGATCAATTTACCGTTTTGACTATCATTTTTCTCCCCTACAAAGTGTTATGAGCATTCAGTGAGGTGCTGTACGGGAAAGTCTCTTATAAATTCTAAAGTGATAACTAAGAATTAGTTGTTGGTGCTGTTAATAGTAACATGAGAGGAAATCCACTGCCAGCAGTCATTCAACTCAAAAATGCAATGCCAGGCCCAGAAGCTGAAGAAAGAAAATACATCCCTGCTTCAGGATCACTTTTTGAGGCTGGGTGAATACTGCTGTCTCGAATTGTGAACAAAGATTACGGAGAGCCTGCTTTTTAAGGTAGAAGCTCACAGATGGCATTTACAAAATTCGCTGTCCTTCTCTTCCACTCTGCTATACGAAGGCAAGTAATTTACTGTCTAGGTTCTCAACCTTGTTGAGAAGACAGGGTTTTCTGAATTGAGAAGCTTGCCTAGTAACTGAATTACGTGAGTAGGATGGAGTAGGAGTGAGTAGGAGTAGGAGTCATGTGGATGTGGTCCATCGCCAGAAATTGAGAAGGCTCCAGGAGTCCATGGGTTTCCATTAACAGGAAATAAAGGATCTCAAATGATGGGCACTTTATTCGGACTGCCCATCCTGTCAATGGAGACCCTTTGTGTTAGAAGAGAAGTATTCTTCTGATTTAGGATAGAGAGGATGCTTTGGCATAAGAATGTTTTAATATTTTTAGGGTTATGTGAATCTCTTGTCATATACATCTCTCTGTATCATAACTGTGATGATAATTTGCAAAAATGAAGTCTAAATTTACATTGTACTTTCAGAAGCTGAGCTCAAATTACTTTTCCCGGCTTATTTCTCACCATACCCTTTCATGCCCTTTATGTTCTAGTTCGGTGGTCCTCAGCTCTGGATGCAAAATTGACCTTTGTGATGAACTTTGAAAAAAGAATGATATCCAAGCCTTATGTGAGCAATTAAATCAGAATCTCTGGCTGCTCGTGCCTTGGTATTGCTACTTTTTCAAAACTCCCAAGGTGACTGTCATGTGCAGCCGGGTTAACAACTGCTGCCTAGCTAAATTGAGTGACCTGTACTTCTAACACTCCCCACGATGGTTATGCCTCCAAGCACTTCATACCACCTCGACTGGTAAAGAACTCACTCCAGTTTCTGAAATTCTTCCACTAGACTGGACTTCTGCCCAGGAGACATTCTTGCAAAGATGGTCCCGTTGATCAATATCTGTAAGGAACTCATAAGGGAAATTTTTTATCAGGTCAGCTGGTTGTACATGAAATAATTGATAACACTCAGAACACTGACTGGGTAATGATATCCATGAATGAGAAAAAAATATGTTTCTAAGAAGTCCTCCTTCAGAATTTAAGACATACATTGAGAATTTGGGCATCGGAAAAGTGATCAGAGAGACTGTAATCAGTAATGATGACTACTTAATAAAAATATTTGATGAAAATGATGACCTACAAGAATTTAGCTCAGCTACTATGGATAATGTGGTTTGAAAAATTCTGAGCTTAATGGAAATTTAAACCAGAAGAATATGAGAAATTGCAAGATAATTCAGATCAGGAGCCCAGGAAAAGGAAAGAAGGCAACTGCATCTCAGAAAATTATTCAGAACCAGCAGAAAGACAGCCTAATGGTGGAGAAGTGACTATTTGCAGTCCTCGACTTAACCACACCACCTGGGCTTCACCAATTGTGAATTTCAGCTGACATCCCAAGCCTTATTTGGTCTATGGAACACTGAAGGTTTAATGGTATATAAACCTGTAACAGCTCCATCCACCTGAGCTCCAGTCTGCAGGGTCTAAATTCTTCTGTGTTAGATCTGTGCATTCCCTGTTCTTCTTGGCAGTAAACTCAGCTTAGTGTTCACTCAACCTCAAAGTCTTTATTCTTTTTTCCTTAAACAGTACCTAAGATGATGAGCAATTGAATACAAATAATTTTTATTTGGGTTACATTAGACACATTCTTTAACTAGTTTGTTCACGTTATATATATATATATATAATTTACCTGTCCCCACTATGGGTTTGTTCTTCATGAAAAAAGTTTTAAGTGTGAACTTATTTTTTATACAGGTCTTCTATCAAAAATCTAATGGGATTCCTCTCTTCTTGGCCTGCCTTCCTGCATAATTGCTGAATTTCCACTATGCTGTGAAACCCCTAACCATGGCAATACAGTAACAGCTACCCAAAAGCAGTCCTTATGACTTAAGGCACTAATACTTTAATCCTATAGATGAGGGAAAATTGGCTAATCAAATTTACTTATTTTAAATCTAGTAGGAAATGAGACAACAGTAACTTCTGCAAAAATATCTGCCTCTCTTATGATACATTCAATAGGTATATCTTACCTCTTTAGAGGTTTGAAACTACTTCGGATCATGTTCTGTAAGTGACACTGTCAGCATCTTTACTGGGAGATTGGTACTCTCTTAGACCTTACCTTTGGCAGTAGGCTGCTGAAATGTTGACTTATAACCTGAAAGGATTTTCCACTTAGGGCAAAATGGTAACTTCCTTCTCTGCTATTATCAGAGACTTCTTCCCTGATGTTGATGTAATTGTCCTGCAAAGCAAGACACAGTTATTTTAGATTTGATAAAGTGGTTAGGCTATCTAAGCACATCTAAGAGAAGGCAATGATGACAGTCCAGAGGCTCTCTTTTTTACGGCCCAGATTCTTCAGAGAAGCCCTTTCTCTTTGCTGGATCAACCGTTGTACATCACAGCCTCTAGTGAATAGGAGAATATCACTTACTCATGTCCTGTTCTCATCCTGATTTGATCTCAGTGAGTTCCAAAGAAGAGCACATTTCACACGTTTCAAGTGTAAAATACAAAAACGCTGCAGCTTAACAAATCTCTCCCTGAAGTGAGAACTTAGAATTTTTTTCTTACAGAATTAATATTGTTCCACAAGGACACAATAGAGAGAGGATACTGACAAGATTAGAGATAAACTAATAAAACTTTTTTTCCCACCCTGAAGACAGTCTGATATTCCAATGTACACCGCGGTGTCTCTCCTAGGAACTAAACCCCCTTTGAACCCAATGCAATGGCTAGTAAGCAAGGGAAAAAATGGAAAATTAGGTTCTCAGTCTCATTTACTATATTCTTTCTCATACACAGCCAATGACTTTTTTAAGCTTAAAAGCACCCAGGAAAGCACTGTACCTTAAAATTCAGTAGGAATAGTATGGGAAACTTATATAATTGAGTTCACTTAACTGCATATGTGTTAGACATTCGGGAGAAGTACATTGACCTTAGTTCACCTGTACACTTCTGCCGGTCAAAGCTGCTCAGTTGCCAAAACTGCGAGACAAGTTTGATATTATGGCAGAAGGTCTGTTTTGAGGCTTACCTGATTCCCGTATGCAATGTGTTTCTTCTCTTCTACCAATTTCCAAGATATAGATGCTGATGAGGACGCAGTGGCTTCATTTGCTTCAATAAGAATGACTTTCTGGCTTTCAGAAACCATTCCAGACTTCCTGGCCACTGTTATTGCAGTCTGAAGATTGTCACCTAGAAGAAAGGAAGAATATCCCAAGATGAGGTTGAAAGGATAGAACCAATTCATAGAGAGCCTGGAAAACTAGGATAAGGAGTTCAGACTTTATTTCAGGTATGAAGAGAAATAATCTCTAAGGCCTCTCTCAGCCCTGACTTTCTATGACTCCATAATTCCTTTTCTGGTTCTTGCTGCTTTTCATCTGGTTACATCATGACCAGCATATCTTTGTCAGAGAGTGGGAAGGAGAAGCAAAAAGGCGAAATTCTAATCTATTTCTGTCATTTGTTAACAGCTTGGTAAAAGCTTAACAAAACCCTACTAGTTTAATATAGTATCTGGGGGTCCCACTTTCAGTCAAGCTGGAGTCAGCCCACTATAATCTATCTCTCCCACTGATTACAGTGGAAAACTCTGGGCAAAATACAAAAAGCAACTACCCAAGGAGTTTGGAAAGTAAACATAAGCAGACAGAATGTGGAAGGGAGTTAAATTTGGAGAAACTATCTACAAGGTGGCGAGATTCTCAACTTTTTTTCTCTTTCCTCTCATATATGTGATCTGAGTGTGAGCCCCAGTCCCAGAGCTGTGCAGGTGGCTAACACTTAGAGAAACTTAGTTTTTATAGCCAGAGGAACCAGGAAAAGGGGCAGCTGAGGGCTGAAGAGCTATAGGGGAAGTCCTGGAAAGGAGAGAACTAGTCAAGGAGACTAATTCAGTGTATGAACTGTGTGAGCCCAAGGCTTAACCCAGACCTCCGTGACCTCCGCGTGTGTAGAAAAAACCCAAAGAAGGATAGCAAATTTTCAAGAAGTGAACTATGATATTAATTACCTCCCACATTCCAGATTTTTGCTTGCTAAAACAAAAATGTTCAACAGTCTCCAGAGGATTTTGACAGGATTCACAATCTCATAATATAACATTCAATATGTTCAGGATACTCAACATACAAAAAACCTGGAAAATCTGGCCAACTCTCAAGAAAAAACAATTCACAGTTGCCTATCTCAAGATAACCCAGATGTCGGAATTATCAGACAATGGTTTTAAAGCAGGTATTATAAGCCTCCTCCATGTGGTAAAGGTTAATACTCTTGAAATAAATGACAAAAGAGAAATTCTCAGGTGAAAAAAATATAAAATATAAAAATATGAAAAATATATAAAAATTCACAGCTGAAAAAAATTAAAAGCAGCTAGAGAAAATAATACATTAGATATAATGGAATGATTATTCAAGTTATCACAGACTTCTCATCAAAAACCATGAAGGCAAGATGACAGTGAAACAACATCTTTAAAGTATTGAAAAAAGAACTGTGGACTCAGACGCCTATAGCTAGTGAAAATATCCTTCAGGAATGAAGGAGAAATAGTTAGACATTTTTAGATGAATGGAAACTAAGATAATTTGTTGCCAGCAGACATGCTCAAAGCGAAATGCTAAAAGAAGTTCTTTAGGCTGAAAGGAAATGATACCAGAGGGAAATTTGTGATATAAGGAATGAACACATAGTAACAGAAATAATAAAGATCTGGGTAAATATAAAAGTCTTTTTCTTTACTTATGTTCTTTAACTCTTGACTGTCGAAAGTAACACCTTTAACGTTGTCTGGTAGAGTTTTCATTGTCTGTCATACACATAAGTAAAAGGTAAAGGAGAGGAGGGAAGGGACATTTGTGGTGGTAAGCCTTCATGCAAGGGTAGGTACAGATATTGTAATTCCTAGAGCAATCATTAAAAAATGTATAATACTACATCTGGCTGGCTATCCCTAAGATGGCTTCTCCCAGGTTTCTACCAAAATACTTATGAGGATCCTCAAAAGAGCTAACTAGTGCTCCACCCTGAGGTCGGAAGAGCACAGGGAGCCCTGAGAGCTGACAGGCTTCCTCCACAGGCCTCAGCAGGGCACCAGCAGCCAGTCTGCTTTGCAACACCGGCTCATTTCGCATCCACCACCCATGAGAGTTCTACTGTTTAGGATATGCAGGCCAGGCCTGAGCCTCAATCATCTGACAAAGGAATGTAACAGCTTATTTAAGAAGTCCCAGAAGCTAGATAGGAAAAGATCAGGTGAAAGAACCAGAACACACGACTGATGAAATAGAGTAGCTGCTAGAGAGAAATGAAACCTGCATTAAAGTAGTGAGCGCACTTAAGGAAACTCAAATGTAGTGTGTGTGTGTGTGTGTGTGTGCATGCACACACACACACACACACACACACACAAAGGTTTTCTAGAGCCACTCCCACCCCAAAACACGATTTAAGAACTTAACAATTCAATAAGTGATTCAAAGAAGATAATGGTTATTTTTGAGACCTGAGTTTGTGATTTGGAAAAAGTGAGTGCAAAAAAAATCTTAAGGCACAGAACAAAACTATAAAAATATGAGAGTCTCAAGAAAAAAGATAAGAGACTGAGAGGATAGATCCAGGAGGCCTGTCATGTGAATAATAGAAATTCCAGAAGGGAAAAAAGAAAGAGAAAGAACAAAAGCAATAATTAAATGAACAATAGAAGAAATTTCCCTGAGACAGATTAAAAGTGCTCGCTATGTTCCAGACTAAATTAATAAAAAATGATAGACATATAGACATACCCTGGTAACATTTCTAAACTCCAAATTTAAAGAAAAAGGATTATATGCAGAAAAGAACAAGTTACCTACAGTGGACTGGTATTGCACTTATAATATGCAACACCAAATACCAGAAGACCAAAGGATAACACCTACAGACCACTAATGAAAAAGGACTCTAAGGGCCGGCCCAGTAGCCTAGTGGTTAAGTTTGCACACTCCACTTCAGTGGCCCAGGGTTTGCAGGTTCAGATCCCGGGTGTGGACATAGCACCACTCATCAAGTCACACTGTGGCAGCACCCCACATAAAATAGAGGAAAATTGGCACAGATGTTAGTTCAGCGACAATCTTCCTCAAACAAAAAGAGGAAGATCGGCAACAGATGTTAGCTAAGGGCCAATCTTCCTCATAAAAAAAAAGGACTCTAACCCCCAAATTCTATACCCAGGCAAGACATTATCCCTTGTCAGAGCAAAGAAATATATTCCAAGATAGGTAAGAAATCAGAGAGCATATCACCCTTCCATCTCATCCAAGGACAATTCTTGAGAAAAAATTATAGCCAAGTGAGGAAAGAAACAGGACAAAAATTTCAATATGAGGGAAGAAGTCAAGAGGGAAGGTGGAAAGCAATGAACTCTTATTTCTACATTAATCTAAATGCTTAAAGATTATGAGAATGTGTAATATAAGTGTTAAATAAAGATTCTGAAACAGAAGGGTCATAATGTAAGGGAAATTCTAAGTAGTAAATTAACTCAGCAACAGCTAGAAGTTGGATGGAAATGGAGAGAGGAAAAACGACCCCAAATTCTCTTGGATTGTCGGGGGAGACTAGCGAGATGGAGAAGCACAGAGGCGGAGGTAAGAGCATTCTCCAGTTCCCAACAGTAGAACTGGGTTCAGGGGAAGTGGGGCGGGAGAAAGTGCTTTGGTGGGGAAATATTGTATCTTGTAACACAATTTAATAGAGTTAGATGTGTCTGCCTATGAGAGCAGTGAAAGGGAAGGCACACGCTCAAAAACTACGACTGCATTAGGAAATCATCTGTTCTCCATTCAGAAGCATTCACTAAGAAATTTCACACATTTCTCTTGCACAATCCTTTCTCAACACTCCCTTGGGTGTGTGATTTGGGGTTTGGGAGTAGGAGTAGAGGGGATAGTGTTTTTTTTTATCTCCAGGATCATAGATTTCATTATTGTGGGCCTTAAGGGTAGTTTACAACCGTGCTGACTATACCTTCTTTTCCTCCTAACATTTAATGTTAAAAATCGTCATCATGTTTGTATGGCTCACATCCTCTTCTCCTCCAGATGATATCCCAAACGCCCCCTCTCAGAGAGAGCCTCATCTAAACTAGCTGGGCAGATACACTCTACTCCATCACCTTGTTTTGTTTTACAAACCTCATAATGCTTATGACCAGCTGTTTATTTGGATTGGTTGATGGGTGGATTGATTTTCTATCTCATCCCACCTGAATGGAAGCTCGATGAGAGCAGGAAGTCTGCCTCTTTCGTTGCCTGTCTCCAGCACCTAGAAAGATGTCTGGCCCATAGTAGGTGGTCAACAATAACATTGCTAAATGAGTGAATCTCTGTCCATTTCCACATCAAATTCTTACTGCTTTCTCGTCCACTGTGTTCTGTACCTGTGATCATTACAGTCCTTATCCGGGCTGAGATGAGCTCCTCCAGCACAGGTCTTGTCTCTTCCTTCAATCGATTCTCCAAGATCAGCAGTCCCAGAAATATCAGATCTGACTCCACCTTGTCCCTGGAAGTACATATGATTGAACAGAAATAGGACATTGTAATCTTTTTTTACAGGAAGCAAGACAAAAACAAAGACAAATATCATCCTGTCAGAGGGGTTCCCTCTCATCCACTCACGTGCTGTTCCTTAGACACTAAGTATGTGCCAGGAACTATCCAGGAAGAAGACAGAGGGGACATGAACGATGCTGAGACATTTCCTCTGACTGAATCAAGAGGAAGAAAGAGGATTTATTAAGCAGAAGATTTGCTTTAACTTTGTAAAGAATGAACTGAAGGACCGCAAAGGTCTCTTCCATCTGCTGTGGTGATTTCATCACCTCACCTGCCACCAACCACCAGAGAGGAGTGCCAGCTGTGGTACAAAATGTCATGAAAAATAAGTGAGGCACAAGAAAAATCAAATAAAATGCCAATTTTCGAGAAACCAAGGCTATAATCAACACTACTTTAGCCCCAGGAGATATGAGGCCATAATCTCAAAAAAAAAAAATGGCCCCTCTTTTAAGGCTGAGTGTCTCCTTCCTTTTGTCCCACAGCTGGTAGCATTGGCCTTCTGCTTAAAGTAGGCATGTTTCTGCTAGTAAGTGAGGCCTCTGAGGCTCCTGTTCACCACGAGAATATTGCCAAGACATTCCACAGGACTAAGTGCAGGGGAGCACATTTAGGGTTAGGGGTTCAAAGATTCTTCCATGATTCATTTACCTGAGACCCAAATACTTCTAGCAGACACATGAGTGAGACACCAGCACTGCCTATATCTGGCTGCACTACAGATGAAGCAGCGCCCAGAAAAGCCAACATGCCTTACTTGCCATGTGCATCCCAATGCTGGGCCTCACATAGGAGAGGTATGACCCAGAGTTAGTGATGCTCCCATGACACTGCTAATACCTCCACCAGAGTGGCAGGAAGTGGACACAGTTTGAACTACTTGCCTCAGAGCAGCCTCAAGAGGATGGAGTTTCCTATTCTTCTGAACTTTGCATTTAGTCTCTCCAGGATCGGTTTCCAAACTATCTTTCCAGCTTCATCCATCACTAAATTGTTCACCCACCCTAACCTCCAGCCAAGTTGGACCACTCACCATGGGTATGCTCTGTCCTCAGCCAGCTCTAAACATTTGCTCTAGACTGCCATGAGACATTCTTTATTATTTCATGGAAAAGGTTCGAAGTCCCCTAAGATCTACTATTGAAATCCTTCCTATATTGAGGTCCAACTCACATGCACCTCCCCATGAAGGCTTCCCCAGATAGAAATAATTGTTTCCTCAGCAGATTACTCCTACTTCAGTTTAGCTTGTTTTCATTTGTCCATATATTACCATTCTTTGCCGTCTGATCTGTCCCTCTGTCTCAACTCCTTGAGGGCAAGCCTGCCTGGTTCAACAAGTTCAATAACACCTACACGGTGCCCCAGACTGAGGAAGTGGTTGGCAAGTGTTTGCCTAGTTAAAAGCCTCTGGTGACCATTGTTTGTCAGGGAACCTAGGAAAATTTATTGCCTCTTTCAGAAATTCTACTGCCAGAAGGTTCTCACAGGACCGAAGTCAGACAGTCCGTCAAATCCATGACATTTACTGAATACCTAAGTACAAGGACCCAGGCTAAGGAAAAAGGGGAGAGAATATGCAGAGACTGCAGTGGCCCCTGACTCCAGAGACTTCATGTCCAACCCAGAGGACAAGATTAGACTTGACTATCTCAGTTATAAGGAAGGCTGGGAGAGTACTGTGATGATGCACAAATAAGAGTCCTATGGAGTAAGGGGTAGTCATTTCTCGATGGAGTAATTGGAGAAACCTTCGTGGAGAAGGTGATGTTTGAGCTAGTCTTTGGAGGATAACTTAGTAGACGCCTGATTGAGGTCCTCCCGTCTTTCTAGTAACCTTCTTAACCAGGCCTCAGGCTTCGGATGTGTTCAGAGATGATTTGACATGAGCCAACCACAAGGCACTAGATTGAGCCAAGAAGATGGCTGCAGGGTCAACCATCTGACACAGTCTGGCACTCATATTTACGGTTCCTCTGGCACATTGCCTTCGTAGGGTTCAATGCACAATAATCGGAAGACCAGAGTTCTAATCCCCGTCATGACCTTGTTGCATGACCTTGCCTGTTCTTTATATGTCAGCCTATTTCTTCTTTTGTAGAAGAAGGTGGTGAAATTAATGAATCTCCAGAGTCTCTTCTAGCTCTAACATGATATGATTCTTCTTTTCACACGTATTCAATCTGAGCCAGGAAATAAACAGAAGTAGTCCCTTGAGAGGTCTTAAGCTCTGCAACTTGGAATTGCATCCTATCTTTTCCTGCTTCCTACATAGATGTTATACCTCCTCCTGAAGCGTCCAAAAATAACAAGGAGTGGGGCATCTAATACGAACAAGCATTGTCATCCCTGTGATTATATCTCATGTTCTTAAAATCCATGTGATTATTAAAGGATGAAATATGCATAAAGCAGGCCAAGAACACTCAAAGAAATTATGATATCAGTGCTGGAAGCACTCTGAGTAACCACACGTGCGCGCACACACACACACACACCCCAGAGAGAGTGTTCTGCTCTAACCAAGGATTAGTAAAGGTTAGGTAAACTAACTTGGCCATGAGTAGTGGTGATGTGGCTTTAATACAGGAGGGGCAAATTGAGAACCTAAGATCAGATCCTATTAGTGAACTTGTGTTTAGACCTTACCGGATTTTGAAAACTTGGAATTTCAATGACTTTGGCCAGGTCACGTACTCTCCTGTGTGCCGCAGCCCTCACCATTCCCTATTGCTCATGGGCCTCCACCAGGAGTGCTTTGTTACACACGCAAGCTTGAAGGCCATGAGTCTGAAACTTGTAGATTTGCAAATATTTTATTACAATCATCAGAAGCAGCAGCATAGTGGCCAGATTCTTGATGTATCCCTGTCAACAGGCTCTCAGGAAACTACCTTCCATCCCCAGTTCCTTCCATCCCCACATCCCTTCCCTGGACCCACGTTTCCTCTTCTTTAACATGTGACATCCAGTCTCAAAGTTCACTCTTAGCCCTCTGACTTGAGTGACCAGAGTTGAGTAAACTACAACGACTATCCAGAATTGTAATAGCCAAAGTTTTAAGGGTCACATTAAGCTGGCCTCAGGGAGAGTGGGCCAATAAGGCCAGGAATCCAATACTCAGGGACTTCAGATGAGTGACTCCCCCTCTGGGCCTCACTGCCCATCCACGAAGCGACAGGGTTGGGACACATCAGTCATTCTCAGGAGGGGTGGTACCGCCTCTAGAGGACATTCGGGAAACGTTTTAGACACCTATGTAAGATTTTCTGCATTGACCAATGCACAGTGAAGAATTATTCTGCATCCCACGTGCCTTTTGAATATTTTACAGGACATTCGTGGACGCTGAAAATTGTTTATACTTTCCTAAGCCAGTACAGGCCTACATTGTTTACATTGGACTAGATAGTGTACTGTATTATTACAGTACGTATAATACTACTATATTATGTTAAACACATGTAAAATTGTGTATACTTCCCCTACCTCTGTTTTACATATAAATACAACGTATTTTTGCACATTTTCAATATTCCATTGAATTTTCCAGGAATGTAACTACCACATAAGTTGAGAAAAGATTGTACTGTTTTATTCAGTTTTACGAAGAGTTTTGAACCACTTCACAGAGTCACCACACTGGCAGCAAGAGTGCTGGCAGTATTTGAGATTCCGGTGTCTGGCACACCTGTGTCAGTCTGCGTTCCTAGTTGTGGCTGGAATGACTCTACACACAGGTGCAAGCAATATATTGTTTCATTTTGTTTTAGTGGAGTCAGCAGAAACTTCATTGAACCATTCCTTCTTGTAATTCATTGCATTTTTTCCTTTTATTTTTACTATATAGAAGGGCACTCTATTTATTTTTTACAGAGAATACGTACAGATCACGTTACACATGAATTTTATTTTAGTATGTTAAAGGACGCGGTACAAAATATAGTCACAAGAAGAGAGGGTTGAGTCTGACAGGATTGAACACAAATATGTTAGACCTTCCAAATTTAAAATCCTAAATAACAATATAAGCCTTGATAATCTCCATAGCAGTGTTACTAATAGTGGGTGGTATAGGGTATTGGACATGGCATTGAAGGTGAAATAAACATGATAGCCTAAAAACGGTGGAAAATAAAACAACGAATAGATTTGAACTAATAAACACTCCAGTCCATTTCAGCCTTTGAACATCCCTATTAATCTATACCTATCAAAACTTTCTGTAGAAGGGCCCCTCTGAAGCTTTTCTTGTTTTTCCACAAATGCTACCTAGATTATGTAAGTCCAAGCTATATTTATTTGTTATATTAAGTTGTATATTTCTTATCAAGAATTTTTTCAGACAAATGTTTCCTAACTTTCAACTAACTCACCAACTACAATGAAAGATTAGCTACCTATATTTAGTTCAAAATGAGGGCACGACCACAATTTCAACCTCTCTGAAGCATTGTTATATTTATAGGTCTGTTTTCACAAAGTTTTACAATCACATGGTAGTTTACAGTTTATACAGCTATTACTCATGAATTCTCCCAGTCACTGTTCATATCAGCTTTGTGATTTAGGAAGAGAAGGGATGACTACATCCTTGTTTACCAAGTTCAAAACATTTCATGCACGCAAATCCAGCACGCTATGTTTCTGTGTCCGCTGCCCAGTCTGGTGCATCTTCCCACAAAACCATTCTGCTTTATCAAAATCCTCTCCACTTACCTCATCAAGGCAGTGGTGTGGTGGTCCATTTCCAGCTTTTTGTAGGCCAGCGCTATGACCCGGAAGCCCTGTGTCGTGTAAATCTGAAGTTCACTAACAAAAGTAGTTGGTACTGTTCAGAAAATAACACAAGATTAGCATGTAAAATTTACTCAGCTATTACTAGCATAGAAATTTTTTACAACCAGATCCAACTGTTGTCCAAGAAAACGTACCTCTAAAAAGGTACACAAACAAGTCAGTGGGAACACTAAACATACATTGCCAGGGTTGACATTGTGGGATCCAGTGAAGCCAAAATGAGAGGGAGGCATTCAAAAAAAAAAAAAAACAAAGAAAGAAAGAAAGAAAAAGGCTGGAAAAGGGGTATAATTCTTTTTTCTCTAGTTTAATCAGTGAACATTTATTGAGAGTCTATTCTCTGTCAGTCATTGGCTCTGGCTCTGCAGAGATTGAACTGTAGGCCCTGCCCTGAGGATTTCTGTCCAGTGGGGTAAAGGCTGGAAGGCTAGTAATACAATCAATACTATGATCTGAGCAATTGCAGCTGCTATGGAAGTACTTAGTGTGCATATAGCAGACTGGGAGAAGGTGGTTAGATGAAGGAAGGGAATGGGCATTTTGGCTCAGGGAGCATCACGTGCATAGGCACAGACTCAGCATTCCTTGAGTAGTTAGTTCAGCTCAGGGGAAGCACAGAATGTGAGGAGAGGAGTGGTAAGGCATATGCGGAAAGTTTGATAAGCGACAGATCATGAAGCCCATATATATGATCCTAAACAGGTTTGAGATTATCCTGGCCCCTATGCGAAGCAACCAGAAGAATAAAAGCAGGAAAGTGACAAAATAGTTAAGCTATGTGATGGGAAAACCAATCTGGTCACAGTATGAAGGGTGAATCAGCATAGGGGAGATTGAGGGCAGGGGTCAATTTATCAACTATTGAAGTGAGCCAGCGGAGGGATGATGAGAACCTGAGCTAACAGCGTGACAGGGCCATGGATCAGCAATTGAACAGATAAAGGCACTAAGATAGAGGTAGGAATCAGGGGAAAGTCCTAAACTAGGGGTAAGGGTGGGAATGTTGGTACCATTCACCAAGATGAGAAACATAGGAAGTGAGAAAGAGAGGCTTGATTTTGGTACTGAGTTTGGGATGCCAATGAGTCACCCAATTGGCAATGACCAGTAGGCAATAGGATTCATAGATCAAGTGCTGAAGGCACATATTTGAGCTGGAAATACAGATTTTCCAGTTGTAATACAAGTCTATTCACTTACCTGTCTCAGGGTGGCAAAAGCTGGCCACCTTCTCTGGTGCACCTTTCATAAAAGCCATCCGGTCACCCCCCATCTCTTGAACAATGACTGTCATCCTCTGCAGTGCTGATGAAAATGGGAACTGATGCAGGATTGCAATTCCTTCCACTGGTACCTGGTTGAGGGACGGGGAAGAGAGAGGGACACATCGACATAGCTTCTGACTATTGGGAATTAACTCCTCCTCCCTCGATCCTTATTTTAGCAAATAAGGGAAACAAGGTTTCACCAATTCCACATGTGGAATTCAACGGAAACACACCTGTGACCTTTCAAAATCATGGATGTGAGGGAAGCTTCCCTTTGAGTTTGGGTGTGGTGGGGTAGATAGCAGGCAAGGCTTACCTGGCTGGCTGTTTTGCAGGGCTTAACTACCATGGCGTGGGCCGGTACTCCTTTCACATGGAAATCGTCCCCAGAAGTAGCCATTTCCTATTTCACAAATAGGATATTTCATTGTAGGGATTTATTCCTTGTTCATCCACTGATACTATGCTCAAATCCTCCCCTTGAGAAAATCCTCACACCAATCAATGTTTTCTCGGCGTCTCTCCCCTCAGCTAGACGGAGGTGAACCAGCCTTATTTCACCACAGAAAAAAATAGTGCGTTAGAAATGCTGCAGAACTTGAAGGGCAGACACTTCTGAATTATTCATGCAATTTGTCCTGCTTTCTCTGTTGGAATGTGCTGTATAAAGGCTCATTCTCATTTCTGAAGAGCTTAACTTGAAAATAGTGCACATGAATAGCCAGATTTATTGTGTGTGAGGCAAGCACCTTACTGTCTTTCTTTTCCTGGAGTTCAGTGCTCCTCCAGCTCTCCCTCTCTGTCTAATTTGGATGGATGGTCCTCAATGTGCAGCAGGGCAGGGACTGTGATGTACATGGTTAATGTTCAGGAAACACTCCGTAATTGCTGTAATTTGTCGTTGTTAGCACTGTCGAGTGGATTCCAACTCTTAGCAACCTTGTGTACAGCAGAGCACAACCCTGCCCAGTCTTTTTGTGCCATCCTCTCACCATCCGGTGTTCTATCAGACAATGCTCCGCTGCTATTCATAGGGTTTTCATAGTCAATTTTTTGGGAAGTGAGTGGCCAGATCCTTCTTCCTAGTCTATCTAGTCCATAAACCCTGCTGAAACTTGTCCACCATGGGTGACACTGTTGGTGTTTGAAATACCAGTGGCATAGCTTTCAGCATCATAGCAACACAACAGCCACCACAGTGTGACAAGTGACAAACAGGTAGGTGGTTCCCTGACCAGGAAACAAACCTAGACCACCAAGGCTAGCTAATTGCTATAATAATGACCCTAAATTATAAACAAAGGAACCTTCTGAACCAGAGATGTCAAAATGCTTTGTAGCCATCTCACTGAGTGGCTGAAAAAATCTGAGAGAGGAAATTGCAATCCCTACCTAAAGATACAGAGATAGTAACCCAGAAAGAATGGCAAAGTTACATCAGATGGCTACAGAACCATGCCCTAGTAGAGCTGGAAAGGATCCTAAGGACGGTCTCCTTCAGCAGGTCTCACACATGTATCGTGGGGGTCCAGAGCTGCACCAGGCTACAGGGGGTGGTGATGGGCTTGTGGCTAAGTAGGTGGGGATGTGTGCCCTGAAGTTTCACCTTTACTCCTCAAATGCGCTCTCAACCAGAGCAACTCCAATTATTTGTGTTTTATAGGGTTCTTCTGAATAAGATTTCCTTTTAAGCAAAGATTCTGGCTTTTTTGTTTTGTTTTATGTGAACGCTGCGGGTCTAATTCAATGCCCTCATTCTAAGGTCAAGGAAGCCAAAGTCCCCACAGGAGAGATGACCTCCCAGGATCAAGCAGTCAGTTAGAGCAGAACCAAAACTAGAACCGGGAGAGCCATATTCCTCGTCCTGAACAACAACATTTGCTCTTAAATCAACTTCGAAGTTTCAACAAAAGCTCTCATGGTTTTCTTTTTTATTGTTTCCAGCCTTGGAAACAAAATCAATACTAAATGAGTAAGAATAAAACTCCTAGTCACAATAAATTATCCTAACCACTGGTGACAGTGATGTTTCCTCATCCTTATGTTCTAGAAAATTTTGAAACCAGACATTATTCCTACTACAGTCTAAAGAGTTGGAAATAATTATATAATAATTACAATTATATTAATATTATTGAGCCTGTAATATGTGCCAGGCACAGTATCAGGGATTTTTTTTTAATGCATCATCCCATTTAATCCTCACAATAATCCTACCACAGAGATACATTGTGCGGAGAAGAAAACCAGGCTTACATGATTTACCCCTCACTGCTACATACACTATAGTGGGGACTTCACATTTTATAAGTATTGAATAGCTGTAATAAAACCTGTGTTGCTCTGGCATTGAAGAGAGTTCTTAGAGTTTCTGCAGAGCAGAGGCTTACCCAGGTGGTGGCTTCAAACATTTTGAGGTCCAGAGGGTCTCCCTGGATGGTCTCATCTAGAAGAATCAGAGAGTGGCAGCTGGCCATGGCCGCACACAGTGGGCCCCATGGCAAAGCCCTGCCCGAGGCAAAGCTATGGACTTCCTGGAAGCTAAAGAAGAAAATAGAAAGAGTTTCAATCCTATTCTCCCGGGCCAAAATGGAGCTTCTGGAGGTGACTATCTTTTTAAAGAGTGGTTTAACATGCTTTGTTACATTACGTGACTACTCTCTAATCCCCCGAATTAACAGTGCTTCATTCGGCCATCATCCTTACATAAGTTCATTGAGTATGAGAAAAGTCTCTGAGATTCTTTCAAGTTCTTTCTTCCCTCTTTTTCCTTACCCTTTCTCTGGCCATGATTTAATTCCAGAGGTATGGAAAGAACTAGAAGTATCACCCTTAGTTCTAACCACATCCACTCCCACCCCAACTTCCAGACCACTTCATTTCCAATGCTGTGAGACAGAACAGGCTAGTTCCCACTATAGCTCTTTGTGTATGTGTGTCTCTCCCTCAATGAATCCTTCAGGACGGGGCTGTGTCTTCCATAGCCCTCTCCCCAACATGTCTGATGTTTGGTCCACAGTAGACAGTCAGCAAATGTATGAGTGAATAAATGAGTGAGTTGGTTACTGGAACCCCGAAAGACCATAATGATAAAGAAAGGAACTTTAAAAAACATCTTTGAGAATGTTTTGCAACATCCCCCTCTTCCACCCTGGCATCTAGTGTCAATATGGCAGCCATCATCCCCATCGCTTCCTATAGAAAGTGGCTTCATCTAAAACCCACTGAGATACAACTCAAATGTCGTAATCAGGGTTCTTTCACTAATCCAGAGTTGAAGTCATCAAGTTTGGCCTCGGGTCCGCTGGAGGGGTGTCCTCTGTAACCTTGTTGTCAGTCCCTTCTTAAATGTGTAGCACAGTAGGTGGTTCACAAAGCAGCCCATCCTATTTGGAGGACCTCTGAGTGCCAGAAAGTGCTTCCTGAACCGAGGCAAAATCTGCTTCTTCGAGCTAGTCAGAATCTGCTTACTCTCCCTGCTCCACATGGCCGCTTCTCTCAGATTTGTGGACCAGCCTGGCTCTTTTCCCTTTTGATCCCCCCTTTCTCTGGGGTTCCACAGGAACCTGTAGCCGTGCCTCCAACATGCAGTTTCTAGACCTCTCACCTTCCTAGTTCTCTTGCTTGGAAAAGTTTTTATTTGTCGTGGTTTGTCTTAAAATGACATCTCCAGGATCAGACTATTATTTCCCACGACGTGGACACTGCATTTCTTTAAATACAGCCTTAGTTTGCTCTAGTCTTTTGTTCTTGAAAGCATATACATCACAGTGTTGACTCATAATTCAGCCTTATTTCTTCCTGGCTGCCTCATTCAAGTTCAAAAAGAGTTCAAAAACCTCTTGGCTGATTACCCACTCTGTTGATCATATCTATTATTACATATCGAAAGATCGAGTTATCTTAGCAGTTTACAACATGTCACCTGGTATTTTAGTGAACATCTAAAAGGAAGTGATCACCTGCAGCATGATTAACACAGACATTTAAGCTCAAACCAAAAAGCAAACACAGATCGGGGGGAGAAAAATCTTATTTTAAAGATGGCACACTCACAGTCATCAGTAAGAATTCTGACTATGTAATTCTGAGTTCTTGAGGATCAAGCCAGATTGATTTGCACAACAGATATATAAAACTTTCTATCATCCCTGTCCTTGGATTTTTGTTTGAAGGTTATGATTTATCAAGCCCAGGTAGCCAAATAGCCTTCTGATGGTTCTTGAAGTATCTGGCACATTGGGCAGGCCATTTTTTGGAAGTTATGAATTATTAGAGATGGGCTCACCTTTCACAAGAAGATATTTAATAGTCTGTAAGTCAGGTGCTGACTTCTTGGCTAGAATTGAATCTTTTTTCTCTCATTTTGCTCATTAAATTTGCCAAGTTTTTTTTAAACTTTAAATTTCTCTTTTAGTCATTTGAAGCCAACTTTGACCTTTTTAAGGATGGAAGGAAGGGAGAGAGAGAGAGAGGAAGGGAGAGTGGTAGGCCTAATTAATTAATTAGTCAATCACCTAAATATTGTATCAACTGTTTTTATTTAAAGTTGACAAGTCACTCTTACAAATAGAAAGTTTCAAAAGTCTTGTGAAAAATATGATGACAATTCAGTAAGTGGAAGAGCATTCAAAAGATGGAAGGTATTTAGTTCATTTCAGATGAACATTTACTGTGCGTCTGCTGTGTGTGCCTGATATTGGGCTACGTAATAGGGACACAAAGGTGAATACGACAGAGACCGCCCTCAGGATGCTCACATATTGGAATAAATGCATACACTTTTTGTAGAAGTTAAAACAGAAAAATACTCATGAACAAAGAGACCAGGTATACATCCAATCTATCTTCAAGGGAAAATGAAAATAACTTTAGAAAGTTTAACCCTTATAAGTGACTTAATCTGGAGACTAAAGTGGTTAGAAGCATCAGGAGTAATCTTTTAACCCAGGAAATAGACTTGTTTATAAATTATATTTTAATATGAAAATGTATTAAATATATATGATTAAAATATTTTATGGACAAATTCTATGTCTATGTCTTCTGCATTATGCAGGAACCACAATGTATCTTCTATGTATAAGACGCTTTGTGATTTAGGTTGTAAGTGTGAAAGGGAAGTATTTTCATTAAAAAATGAAATAATGTCAAATTCTTCCTGTTCTGATCACATTGGAAGCTGCAGGGGAGAGAAAAAGCAGGCAGAGAAACAAACTCATTCATGGCCACAAGAGGGCCCCAGCAGAGGGATGTGTACATCCACCACACCAAGCTGAAATCTACCCAAACTGAGTCTTCTCTGGCCAGAAAAGGGGGGTTTCTGGCAGCCAGAAGGTGGAGTTCCCAGAACTAGAATCCCGAGGCAAAGGAGTACACTAGCCACGGGTCCACAGCTGTTCCTCTTCCTGAAATTCAGCGCACACAAGTCAGTGCAGTGTTCTTCCCCCTAGCACACAGAAAGCCTTCAGTTTGTACTAGGAATGTCACCTCCCTGAAGGACAATGTCGTGGTATCATCAAAATTAGGGACCCTGGGCCAATTTCAGGCCCCTGACTAATATGCTAACAACACATTACATTCGAGCAAGGATTTGAATGCAGTGTCAAAACACCCCTTCATCTCCTAGGTTTGTGAGTGGCATGGGGCAGGGCTGGAGTGGGCGGAAATATGCATGCTTTAGTGAGACTCGGAAATATTCAAGAGAAGAAATTAAAGGAAAATACTCCAGCAACCACTGCTCACTAAAGCCAATGGCAGGATCTCTCCATGATTAGTTTTCAAGAGAAAACACAGAGTTCTGGGAAAAGCGAAACTAAATGCCTTTAGTCCAAAGTACTCACCCATTCTTGTCACAGGGCACGACTCCCCAGAGGTCCAAGCCATCTCTTGTTAAGGTGCCTGTCTAAACAGAAACGAGCACCAGTTGACCCTGAAGATCCAGCAGCCCCATAGTGATGAGTAATAAGGTAAATATGTGTCACAATCATATTATCAAGATCAGCTCTTCAAGGACGGACACAATATGGTGGGCTTCTGGAGTCCTGGGCAGAAACTTTGATGAGCGCATACCAGTTGTGTGACAAGCTGGCACTTAATCTCTTTGAATTTTAGTGTTCTGTGCGATATAAGGAAGAAAACAGTATCTGCCTGACATATTTCAGAGGCTTGTTTTGAGGATCTATGTAGACCAAATGGATGGGAAAGTCCCAGGTAAGGCTGTAAGAGCTATAAAATGGGTGAGTCCAGTTTTCATAGTAGAAGTCAAAAGTATCATCAGAAATAAATCATAGGAGTAGAATTTTTTACTGTTCTAAGGAAATTATTTGCTATCTGACACCTATGTGGTAAAAAGGTGCTTATTGGAATTTCTCTCAGTGCAGTATAATGCTGAAGAGCTTGGACTGGGTTAAAACCCAGCGGGGTAACCCAGGCAAATTATCTGATCCCTCTAAATATCAGAGCCTTTATCTGTAACATCATGATACTCGTAGAGGGTGAATGAGGTAATACAAATAAAGTGCTTAATTTGACGTCCGGCATAGAGCAAGAGCTGACAATAATGCTAATTCTCATAATTATTACTTGTTTTTTATTTAAATTCATGTCACAATTATCTCTCCCACCCCTGTTTCTTTTTCCAAGTCCAAGATGAGATGATCCCATAAGTAGAACTTCTTTCCTTATGATGCTAGTTTGATCACAAAATAATATTGAAATGGTGGCAAGAACTGTGTTAACCTTCCAATCTTGGTACATCTCTCTGATATTGCAGTAATTATAAAACACAACTCTGAGTCCCATTAGTTCTCTGCTATCAAAATCTTCAATGTGTGGTTTAATGGGTACAAAGTTTCAGTTTGGGAAGATGGCAAAAGTTCTGGAGATGGATGGTGGTGATGGTTGCACAACAATGTGAATACACTTAAAGCTACTTAAAAATGGTTAAAATGATAAATTTTATGTTACATATATTTTACCACAATAAACAAATATATTAAGAAAAAGTAAAGCAATGATAAAAAAAAGAAAAAACACCTTCAACAATTCCCCACTGCCTAAAGAGAATGTAAAAATTTCTTAGTCAAACATCAAGGTCTACAAACACCCTCTCCCATTACTAATGTCCTACTCCGGTCAAAACCATGCTCTATTGCTGTCCTGACTCCACGCTTTTGCCCATATTCACCTGCCTACAATGCCCTTTTACTGTATATGTTTTTGAGTTTTCTGTATGTTATAATGTTTTGACATCTTAAAAAGCCTTTCTGACTGGAGAGAGACTGCCTCTTTGAGACTCAGCCAATAGTATGTCTTTGATACGGAAACTAACCAGTCCAGTCGGGAGCCATACCTCCTCTATCTGGCCTTATTCCCCAGGAGACAGTATTTCTCTGCCTTCAACAACCTAGGGCCAGGTATCAGACAACTAGAGACCACCTCTACAGTTCAAAGCTCACCGAAATCATTCAAACTAGCCAATCATCGCTGTTTACCCTGCCCTGCCTTGCCTCCTGCAGAAACCCCAACAAAGGCCATTGCCTAAGCACTTCCATGGCTCCTGCTTTGTTTCTGATCAAAACTTCACGTTCCCCCTGTGGCCCTGCATGGTGAGCCATGCCTCTTCTGTCTAGGGGAACTGTACACAACATTAAACTTTTCTTTCAATGGCACTGATCTCCCCCTTCCATCGCTCAGTCGCCTTTATAAATTAAGACCCAGCCACAAAAGAGCCGTTCATGCCCATCTTCACCCCAGCACATGTGTGTACAGACTAGAAGATACATTCAAGAGAAGGGAGATGAAGAGGCTGTTTGGGAGTAACTGGTGTAAAATCAAGGAGAATTTTAAGCCATATACTGCAGATGGGAAAATACAGTAAGGGTTTGATTGGGGCTTTATTGTAACCAAGTCTCATAGTAAGATACAGCTAAATAAACTCTTAATTTTTTATTCATTCATTAACTCAATAAATATTTATTCAGCACTGATTATGTGTCAGGCAATATTCTTGGCATATGGGATACAGCAATATCCCTAAATCAAAAAGGTTTAAATTTTGTTGTTTGTGTGAGGGTTTTGACTATAGAGGGACAGAATGCTATTTTAATTAGTTGTGTTTCATAGAATATTGGAGCTGGAAGGACCCTAAAAGATTGACCTATTCAGTACCTACTCTCCCTTCTCTCAACCTTGGAATCTCAGTGCTCAAGAGATGTGTCTTTCCTAGATCACACATCCAATCAGAGATAAAATGAAGTCAGGTAGCCACATCCTATGTTTCCTGCTTCACAAGAGTGTAAATTACCTAAACATGACAATAACGATGATAGAAATGGGGATGAGAATGAGGATGAAACACACATACCTTGTCAAAGCAGACAAGGTTTAATTGCCCACATACATTGATCCTCTGGGGACTGAGGCAGAAGATGCCTCTCTTCTTGAGCCTCCTCTGGGCATAGATAATGCCAGTGGTCAGAGCAGCAGGTAGAGCGGGAGGAACTGCGATGGTGATAACATCAAGGGCTTTCTTCACCACCTCCTGGAGAGGTTCCTGGAAGATGAAGTCACTCTTTAGCTGTCGAAGATAAACCAGTCATGAACAGCTTTGCACATATGACATTTTTTGTTTGTTTAAATTCCTAGAAATGGTATGAATGGGTCAAATATGGGTATAAAAGGTATGAACACGTTTATGGCCCTCAATATATTTTGCCAACATGCAATGAAAAGGCTTGTAACAATTCATAGGGTTACCCCCAGAGAACAATGTACCAGTTTGTCATGACCTCACCAACAATGGGTATCTAGGTGTATTTAAAATTCCTCACTTAACAGCGACAAAGTATTACGTGATTGGAATAAATATATTCTCAGATTGAAAATGAAAAAATTGTGTAAGGAAAAGTGTGCAAGAGGAGACATGTTGATATCTCAACAAACAAAGTGTTTTATCCCACTTGATCTGATTGTTATTATGGAACTTCGTGATCAATTGCTTGTATTGGGGAGCTGGGAATATAAAAGCAAATTTCAGTATTTGGCTTTGTGTTCCAGGTTTGTAAACCATGCCTTAGATTAAGGTCAGCACTCAGAGTATAAAATCCACGTAGGTGAGCGTATGCGTGCATGTAATAAAAGAAGAGAAGCAGCTTACCCCGCTGAGCACGTAGACGCACAATGTATAGACCATGCCAATGGTGGCCGTCCCTACGAGGCACAGGAGGAACCTGATGGCGTCCCTGTAGAGCTTAAAATTCATCGGCTTGGGGTAGAGAATGGACCTCACAAGGTCTCCCTTTGCAGTGTTGAATCCTGAAGTGGCAAAAACACACCCCACACTCTCAGGTCGACAAATCTTACTGCCAGCATTCCTCTAAACCTCAACATTGCCTTCATTTTCTCTAGAGATATGTAAACAGTGTTTAAACCCAAACACAGTTAAAGAATAATTGGGCAAATACCTAGGCACTAGGATGGAAATATCTTACCTATTTCAGGGCTTATCACTCTCTGGCCTGCCTTCCCTCTGCTTCCAAAGCCAGTGCAGCCCAGAGATAGGAAAGCACCATACTGGAGGCAGAGCACAGCTTTTCCAAATATAGCTTCATTTTAAGGAGACTCAGGAATGCACACGCACACATGTGCCCACGCATGTGCACACACACACACATAATTCACTTGAATTTAAATTTAAATGGCCCAGTAAACACTGATGGATTCAATTTCTTTTCTTTTCTTTTTTTTTTTTTTTGAGGAAGATCAGCCTTGAGCTAACTACTGCCAATCCTCCTCTTTTTGCTGAGGAAGATTGGCCCTTAGCTAACATCCATGCCCATCTTCCTCCACTCTATATGTGGGACGCCTACCACAGCACGGCTTTTGCCAAGAGGTGCCATGTCCACACCCGGGATCCAAACTGGTGAACCCGGGGCCGTGCACACTTAACTGCTGTGCCACCGAGCCAGCCCCTGGATTCAATTTCAAATGCTTCTTAGTGTCAAGTTTTCAGTTTCTAGTCCTGCCTAGAAAGAAGTTGGGATTTGGGGTTAGAAGACCTGAGTTCTAGGTCCAGTTCTGTCAGTTACTGGCTGTGTGATTTTTCTAAGTTCACCTGAATTGTGTGAGCCCTAGCCTATTTGTGTACAAAGCAGAGACAGTAGGCGTCTTTGTTCTGCTGGTTTGATAGGTGCAAATAGTTTATAAACTACAAAGCACAAAAACAGTACTTTTTTTTCTTATATTCTTTTTTTGAGAAAGATTAGCCCTGAGCTAACATCTACTGCCAATCCTCCTCTTTTTGCTGAGGAAGACCGGCCCTGAGCTAACATCCGTGCCCATTGTCCTCTACTTTATATGTGGAAGGCCTACCACAGCATGGCTTGACAAGTGGTTCATAGGTCCACATCCAGTGGACCTGAGCCGGTGAACCCTGGGCTGCCAAAGCAGAACGCGCGAACTTAACTCCTGCACCACCAGGCCGGCCCCCATAAATAGTAATTATTGTCATCAGTGTTATTTTTACTAAAAGGCATCTGCCATAGTTCAATTCACATTTAAAATATATAAATTTAACACATTTAATTTGTTATCTAAAGACTGCTCTTTACCTAATAAATTTAAGGCATTAGACAAACTAAGCGAAAATATTTCATTAAAATAAAATGAAGTAGGAAATGCTAACTAACCAGTCTGCAGGACCACGGCTCTCACGGTCCCGGAACAAGCTCCCTTGGCCTGGATAACTTCCGTGCCACAGAAGAGGACGTGTCGCTTGTAATCTGCTTCACTCTGTGTTTTCCAGGGCGCAGAGCCATCCATCTTGAGTAACGGAGTTTTAGTGACTGGAATACTTTCTCCTACAGAAAACAAGCATCTCATCCTGTGAGGTGGGGTCCCTTCACTCATTTAAATCATGCATATACTCTCTCATCATACAGCAGACATTTGTTGTGAGCCTGCCATGTGGCAGGGACAGCCCTGGGTACTGGGGATACAAGGAGAAACATAAGTCTTGTTTTTAAGAGGTTTGTAATCCAGAGAGGGAGACAGACACGTAAATAAACAAGTATAATGTCATATTAAAAATGCTATGAATATTGGGGGCTGGCTTCGTGGTCGAGTGGTTAAGTTCACGTGTTCTGCTGCAGGCGGCCTAGGGTTTTGTTGGGTCGAATCCTGGGCGTGGACAGGGCACTGCTCATCAAGCCACACTGAGGCAGCATCCCACATGCCACAACTAGAAGGACCCACAACGAAGACTATACAACTATGTACTGGGGGGCTTTGGGAAGGAAAAGGGAAAAAGAAGGGGCCGGTTCAGTGGCCGAGTGGTTAAGTTCGCGTGCTCCACTGCGGCGGCCCAGGGTTCAGATCCTGGGTGCGGACATGGCACCGCTCGTCAGGCCACGTTGAGGCGGTGTCCCACGTCCCACAACTAGAAGGACCTGCAACTAAGACATACAACTATGTGCAGGGGGGTGGGGGGTTGGGGAGATAAAGCAGAAAAAAAAAAAAAGAAAAGGGAAAAAAAATAAAATCTTTAAAAAAAAATGCTATGAGCATTGTAAAACGAAACATGGATGCTAAAATAGGCTGGAAATAACCATTTAGGGAACAGCAAGTTGTGCCATCTAGAATGTGGGGTGTGGGGAATAGGAGCCATGAGAGTTGTGTAGGAGCCAAAGCATGGAGGGCCCTACATGCGCATATCTAAGTGATAACTGTTTTTCTACAGGCACTCGTGGCAGAAGAGGATGGGGAGACGTTGAACTGTTCTATTCAGAAGAGTACGTCACATTTATGTACACAGGAGTGCACTCTGCCTGCAGCACACAGAATGAATTGCAGCCTGGTGAGGCGGGAGACTGGACATCCAGGTAGGAAAGATCACAAGAGCTCCAGTTGGAGAAGATGAGGTCTGAACTATGGCAGCTGGCAGTGGGAGTAGAAATAAAGTGCTGGATTTGAGAAATGAGGACATAAGAGACCACAAGACTTGGGGAGATTTTTATATTGGCAAGTCCTGGGGACAGAGGAATTTAAACTGGCTTTCTGGTTTCTGACTTGGGGAATGAGCAGAGGATGACGTGAGTTATCGACACAGGGACCATAGGAGGAAGGAAGAATTACCTTTTGGTCACTGTGAGTTGGGGATGCCTTGTGGAATGACCACGTTGAGATGCCTTGTAGGCAGGTAGAGATTTATTTGGGTCCGGAGCTCAGGGGAGGGTCTTTGACCAGAGATATTTAGTGAGAGTTCATCACCTTATAGATGATAATTAAGACCGAGAGAAGAGACAAGATTACTTAGGGACCAAGTGTAGGGTGAGTAGAGGAGAGGACCAGGACGCCTGAGCAGCACCAACAAGCAGGGGCATGGAGGAAGAGCAGGCGTTCAGGAAGCTGACCAGTGTGGTCAGTGGTTGGAGAACTTGGAGGGACAGTGCTGCCTTGGAAAGCCAGGGAGAAGAGAGTTTTCAGAAGGAAGGGATGGTCAGAGTAGTCAAAAGCAGCAGAGAGGTCATCAAGAAGAGAAATTTAAAGAATCCATTGGATTTGGCAAGTGGGACATGGGTGACTTTTGCCAGTGCAGGGGGAGGGGCAGATGGCAGTGGGTTGAAATGCTGATATAGAGGGAGAATGGAGTTGTGAAAGTGACGATGGCCTGTTCTGAGAAACAAAGCTTCTAAGACCTTCTGCTGGTCGTTGCAGAGTGGGCAGTATAACTTCAGAGAGATGTTCCCACATACTAGGGCCACTCTCATTAGGAAAATGGTACTTGGCATTGCAAAAGTTCCAGTACCAGGAGACTTATGAATCTATGTATTCCTTAGAGGAAGAAACCTGACCTACCACAAGTTTTTATCTTTTCGGTAAAGTTACGTACAAGGGAAACATATGTTCTTGTCTCTATTTCATGCCTTTCTGGTCTACCTGGGAGAAATGGATTCAATTTGGACTTTAATGGGAACCACAGTACGTCAATGTGTATTCGCAGGCTCTCATTCCATCTCTGAAAATGACTTTATGATTCTTCTTTCCCTCACAGAAATGTTGGCACTACATCTCCTCATAAATGCATATGCAAATAAGAACTCAAAGCACTATGACCTTGAGAAGTCACTTCTCTCTGGACCTCAGCTTCCATTTCTATGAGATGCAATGACCTCTAAGGTCCCTCCCAGCTCCAGCACGCTCTTTAAAAATGAGATAGTTAGTTCCAAATATCCAGTGTATATTTTGAAAGTAGTAGATTGGTTAATCCTGCATGATGAACATTTCAACATTTTCAAGCCAAGCCAGGAAGAGCTTGGAATTGACCTTGTGGCTTTCAGAATGTCATTAATGGTTCTCAAACCCTCCAAGTTTATCTGAGACATATTTTATAGACAAATAGTAAACATAAAAGTCACAGATGATCCTGAAACATCTAATGAGTTACAATCTTCTAAGATAAAATGACAGGGTTGTAATAACCCTTTGCTCAGGAAGGAAATGCTAAACATTCTACAAGTTATGACTGTATCAAACTTAGCCCATAGAAAGCAGCTTTAATTTGAACTCTCAGAATCATCCAGAACAGGACGGTTAAGTCAGATTTATGGGCATAGGAAGGTCCCACAGCAGCCACAGGCTTTGCCATTGTCATTCACGTGGAGGAGGAGCCTGGGAGAGCCAGCAGAGGCTGAAGTCATGAGCTAGAACTGTACCTGTCAGCATGCCTTCATCTACCACACAGCTGCCATCAATCAAGATGGCATCACATGGCATTTGCACTTTGTTCCCTGTCAGAATTAATAGATCTCCGGGTACCAGGAAGCGTGATTCCAGCTCTTGGGCTCCAGCTGAAAGTGTGAGAAGACAAAGTCAAGTCAGTTTTTTTCCCACAAAAGCACAGTCTGACATCTACCTAAATTGGAAATCAATGAAAAAGCAACCAAGGTACTTAAAATAAGGAGGTTATTCTTCAACATTGATTCAAAATCTGGAACAATAATAAAAAAAGTAACAAATTCAATTATATGAGATAAAAATCTCTGTGGGGCAAAAAAATAAATAAATAAGCCAAGAAAAAACTAATGACAAATTCAGAAAACATGTTTGAAACTTACAGACAAAAGATTAATATTCCTAATATATAAGGAGTTCCTAAAAAAAGAGAGATATATCAAAAGATTGTATAGGAAAACTGCTAGAGATGTTAAAGATAGTTCACACATACAAAATGCAAGCGGCATGTTAAACATTTGAAAAGATGCTCGTTCCTACTCATAATAAGAAAATTGAAAATTCCTGCTTTCCTGCCTTCCTTTACCCTTTTCCTACCTTATTCAATCCCAAAGTTATAAGGGGTTAAGCAAGGTAAGCATTTATGCAAGGGGCTAGGTAGGGTGGGGATGGAGGACCCCAGGCTGCTATGGGTGTTAGAGCCTAAGAAGGGTGGACGGGTGTTCATTATGGCCTGGTGCAGGGTGTCAGAGGCCAAAGAGGGAGAGAAGGGACTCCATGGTGGCAATGGCCTGGTATGGGATGTTGGAGTTGGAGCAGGGTGAAAATGGAGTCTACATGGGAGTAGGGTGGGGGATGGTAGGGCTATTAGCAGTGATGGATAATGGATGTCATCCAAGGGGGCATTGATGCAATAAGCAGATACAATGAGAGCCAGGTTTCTCACCAACGAAAGGAAATTACAAATATAGATAAAAATAGAACCAGGATAAACTCTGTGGTATTGGGATTAGAATTGAGACAACAGTGTGAACTAATGGTTTTCAATAGATAAAGAAGTAATGTAGATGCAAATGTGTATGTGTATAAGAAAGCATACATATATGATATATTTGCTTGTCTATTTTTATACATATATTCTCTAATTCTGTTCTCTGAGAGGGCCTGAGAGCAGTGCAAACCCTATAATAATGTGCACATCCAGTGCCTGAATTTTAGTTTCTAAATTCCATTGCCCTCAAAAAAGAATCAGGGTTCCACAAAGAAATGGCTGGTCACAAGGCTGGGCCAAGAAAAGTATAACATGAGCCAGAACATCTGGTTGTGCCATTAAGGAAGTGCTCACACAATGATGAGGGCATATCAAAAAGACACTGAAACCAATTTAAAGGGCTCTCGTGGACTAAATCTGTAACAGTTTGAACATTAGCGTAATTAATGATAATAATGAACTCTAACCCATTAAATAAAATAGGAATTCATGAGTCCATAATGATGTAAACAAATGAGGAGAAAACATAGTTCTTTCTTACAGTAAAATGGCAATTAGTTAATGTATAAGGAAAGATTAAACCAGAAAATCACCATCTGGCAACTATCAAAATAATAATTAATCTAGCCAAGAAATGTCAACAGATACTGAAACTAGTGGGTGAAAATTTGATGAGGATGGTTGATCTATGTAGTCTCAGAGTATCTCTCAACAAAACAACTATTTATTAAAAAGAGGAAAAAAGTAAATTTACAATGGAGAAACCTGGCAGACACCATTGAATTAAGCAATCCAAGTTAACATCACCAGTAATAGGACAAATTTAAACTATGTATCACCTGAGAGGAAGCATCGAGAACTGCTTGGCATTACTTTTGTGACTTTCCAGCCAAAAAGGCAGAAACCGATTTTAACCAGCAGGGAATGTCAGATAAAACCAAATTGAGGGGCATTCATAAAATAAGCAGAGGAGAAAGAGTCAAGGTCATGAAAGTCAAGGAAAGATTGAAGAAGATTAAAGAGATTTGGCAAACAATAGTATTGCGCAATCCTGGATCCTTGCCTATATAGGACATTCTTGAGACAATTGGAGAAATTTGAATGGGTCTGAGCATTAGTTGGTATGAAGATATCAATATTAACTTCCTGATATTAAGGTTTGCACTCTCATTTATGTAGCAGAATGCTCCTGTCCTTAAGAAATACACACTACAGTACGCAGGAGGCGGGGAGCCACAAGTCAGCAACTTATTCTAAATGGTTCAGGGAAAAAGTTATTTGATCCACTCTCGCAACTTTTCTGTAAGTTTTAAATTGTTTTCTAAAAGAAAAAAAAGAAGAAAGAAAGAAGAGAGAAATATATACGAGATAACACTACTCACCTACCTGATTAGAAAAATCTAAAAGTTTGCCAGTATATTATGTTGGCAAGGCTGTGAGGAAACAGGCACTTTCACACATTTCTGGTGCAAATGCAAACTGGTACAATATCTATGGAAAGAAATTTGGCAATATCTAGCTATCAAAAGTATATATGCATTGCGGCCAGCCTGGTGGCATAGTGGTCAAATTCACGTGTTTCACTTTGGTGGCCCAGGGTTTGCAGGTTCTGATCCCAGGCACGGACCTATACACTGCCTATCAAGCCATGCTGTGGCAGGCGTCCCAAATATAAAATAGAGGAAGATGTGCACAGATGTTAGCTCAGGGCCAGTTTTCCTCAGCAAAAAGAGGAGGATTGGCAGCTGATGTTAGATCAGGGCTAATCTCCCTCACCAAAAAGAAAAAGAGAAAAAAAAGCACATATGCATTTATTCTTTAACTCAGCAATTTTACTTCTCAAAATCTATACCAAAGATAGACTGGTAAAAATATGAAAAGACATGTGCACAGGCTTTTTATTATAGCACTATTTGTAATAGTAAAAGATTGAAAAACAATCCTTTAATAGAGAGCTATTTGAATAAATAGTGGTTCCCCTACACGAGGGTGCCACGCAGCTGAAACAATGAATGAAGAATATCTGTATTCACTGCTATGGGAGGGTCCCTGGGAAACAAAATTAAGTGTGTAAAGCACATACACCAGGTAATATAAGTTAAATGTATATGATATACTCCTGTTATCTAAAAAACCCAGCAGTATAAAAATATATCCTACTCTGTATATATATATATGAATATTATGTATAATTTGTATTTTTTAAATGTAAGAACAAACCAAAAACAAACAAAAATGATCATTATTAAAAGAATGAGTACGTAAGGCAGAGAGAAGAGGGGTAAGAACTCGACTCCCCTGAATGTCTTCCGTCTGATGGATTTAACTTTCCAAACAAGCAGATATTTTATATAACATCTGTGCAAACGACTACAAAAATGAATTTGAAAAGCTAACGCTAAAAGTCTACAGCAAAATGAATGAGACGAACCTATCAAGTTGTTGGCATAACTATATAGAGAAGAATTATTTGAGTGACTTTAAAATATGATTTTTTTAAATGTATAATTTGTACATTTCTAATGGTATATCACAAACAGGGGAAAAGAAGAACTCTAAAAAATCTTACATTGTTTCTAGGAATAATATTGTTGCTGGGTGTTTTGGTTTGTTATTCTGAGATTATTGTATATGATGGGATAAAGCTAATGAGTAATTTCCTGCTGTCATTGAGAATCAGGACTTTTATTACGGAGAACGGAGAGACAGAAGTACAATCAATGAAGTTAAGTAAAAAGCCCATAGTTCTAAGCTTGAATTGGAAATGTCAGTATGTTTTGTTATTGTTGTTGTTATTGTTTTGATGAGGAAGATTGGCCCTGAGCTAGCATCTGTTGCCAATCTTCCTCTTTTTGCTTGAGGAAGATTGTCGCTGAGCTAACATCTGTGCCAGTATTCCTCTATTTTGTATGTGGGACACTGCCACAGCATCGCTTGATGAGTAGTGTATAGGTCCATGCGTGGGATCCAAACCTGTGAACCCCAGGCTGCCAAAGCAGAGCACACAAACTTAACCGCTACGCCACTGGGCCGGCCCCAATGGAAATACCAGTATGAACTCGTTAATGTATGTTATCTTTAAAATATTATTTCTTAGGTATGTCTTCTGAAAAATCCTAGAAACAATGACTAACACCAAAGAAATGAGCACTCCTAACACTCTGATTGAGGCCTCTAAGTACCAAATCTAAGAGCTCTTTGGAAAAATGGATGTGTCCAGGTTTGGAGCAGGAATTGTCCAAGATGAGTCTGGAATATCTTGTCATACCAGAAAGCAATAAAACTTTCAAAGACTGCTGGGTTCATGTCAAAAGAACTCAGGAGCCAATCTGAAAAGGCTCGAAATGGCTGAAGATGGGACAATGTGGGCAACAATAAGAACAAAAACTACAATGGATGGAAATATACCAACCATGTTAACAATATATGTCTATAACGACACTGGAAAAAAAAGGCTTTGGAAAATGCTAGAGGGTCAACCCATTATTTTGAAAGCTGTTAAATGAAGAGAAATAGCTATTTCTCCTCTTTTTCTTAAATAAACTGAATCTCAGAGTAATGAAATAGTTGAGGAGGGGTGTTTCTCTTTACTGAAATATTCTATTTGATCTATGAAGATGGCATGATAGAAGAAGAAATTTGAAACTCTGAATGAAATAATAAACCTAGATCATGAGCATTCAAGTCTGCTAATATCACAAAAAGAAGACAACCAGATATTATGTACCTCCCATGAGAAGTACACAATACCAACTATGATGTTTTCTTGCAAAAAACTCAAGCTTCAGAACTAACTATCAATTACAGGAAGTACAAGGGATAGAAAAATCATGTTAACTAACTCCATGAGTATGCAATCAATGTAATCTAAGCTGTGGAAGCCACAGGATGAAACAGTAGTTTCTTCAACAAAAAATTTGCAAGGAAAAAAATAAGATATGGAGTGAGAAATGTGTGGATTAAAGTAAAAGACCTGCAGAGGATCCCCCATACACTGAAAGACCCATACACTGAAAACTGCAAAATATTGCAGGAGAAATCAAAGAATATCTAAATAAATGGAGAAATAAACCATGTTCATCGGTCACAAGAGCCGAACTTGTTAACATGTCAATTTTCCACAAACTGATCTATAGATTCAACACAATCCCAATCAAAATACCAGCATGTGTTTTGGTAGAAATCGACAGGTTGATTCTAAAAGTCATACAGAAATGTGAAGGGACCAGTATTGCCAAAACAATTCTAAAAAAGAAGAACAATGCTGGAGAACTAACGTTATCCTATTTCAAGACTTATTATAAAGCCACACTGTGTAGCATTGGTATAAAGACAGGCAAATAGATCATTAGAACAGAATATGTAGTTCAGAAATAAATGTACGCATACACAACTGATTTTTGACAAAGGTGCAAAGACAACTCAGTGGAGAAAGGATAGTCTTTTCAACAAATGGTATTGAAACATTTGTATATCTGTTTGCAAAAAAATTGAACTTCAACTCGAAAAAACAACCTCAAAACACGATACAGACTGATAGGTAAAACCTAAAAGTATAAAACTTCTAGGAGACAACGTAGAAAATCTTGATGACCTTGGATTAGGGAAAGATGTCTCAGATATAACACAAAAGCATGACCCACAAAAGAAAAAACTGATAAACTGGACTTTAGCAAAAGTTAAATCTTTTGCCCTTTGAAAGACCCTGTGAAGAGAATGAAAAGATAAATCATAGATTGAGAGAAAATATTTGCAAATCATGTCTAATAAAGGACTTATATCCAGAATATAGAAAGAACGCTCAAAATTTAATAATAAGAAAATCTAATCAGCAAAAGATTTGAACAGACAGTTCACCAAAAAAGACATACAAGTATCAAATAAGCAATTGAAAAGATGTTCAATGTCATTAGTCATTAGGGAAATGCAAATTAAAACAACAATGAGATATTACCACACACCTATTAAAACGGCTAAAATTAAAAAGACTGACCATACCAAATGTTGGCAAGAATGTGGAGCAACTGGAACTCCCATACACTGCTGGTGGAAATGTAAAATGGTACAATCACTTTGGAAAACAATTTGGCAGTTTCTTTAAAAGTTAAGCATTTATCTACCATATGGTTCAGCCATTCCACAGTTAGATATTTTCCCACAAGAAATAAGAGTGTAAGTCCATACAAAGACTTGAACCCAAAAGTTCATAGTTGCATATTTGTAACAGCCAAAAACTAGAATTAACCCAGATTTCCATCAAAAAGTGAATGGATGAACAAAGTGGTCTATCCATGCAATGGTCGTTTACTTAGGAATAAAAAGGAATGAACTATTGATATACTTAACAAAATGGATTGATTTCAAAATACTTATGAACTTTGATCCTGCTAAAATTAACCCAAAAATATATTATAAAAGACAAAAAATGCGTACTGTACAATACCATTTATCTAAAATTCTAAACATGCAAAGAGGTCGCCTGAGAATGGGGAGGAGTAGAGAGCGGCTGAGAGGGAAGATTCCAAACAGGTACAACATGACTTTTTGGGGTGATGGGTAGTCATTATCTTTACTGTGGTGATAGTTTCATGGGTGTGTACATATGTCAAAGCCTATCAAATTATACACTTTAAATATTTTCAGTTCGTTGCATGTCAATTTCACCTCAATAAAGTTGTTTTCTCTTAAAGATCAAAAGATCTCGAGTTCTTCATCACTTTAAGTAAATGCACAGGAAAAGATGCGTATGAAGATGGGAGTAGTAGAAACAATCAGAAAAACAAATTTAAATCCTTTTCTGATGCCATATGGACAACACACAGATATAAAACAAAGGGACTTACCTTTTCTCCCACATACTGAGACCGTAATGCTATTATGTGACTCAACTAGACGGTGGAGCTTTACAGATTGCTGAAAAAGAAGGGAAAATAAGAAAAGGCTTTTCTATTTGAGGATAGGTCTCACGTATCATTCAGTAAAGTGCTAGGCTTCTTCAGAGATGGAGCACTGTCTCATCACCAACAGAATACACTGTCTAAAAACAAGATTGAGTAGCCAATTACTCAGCTGGAAAAGCATCCAATTTGTCGTGCTCTTCACCCAGAAATAAGAAGTGTGGGTTCTTCAGTAGAAAAGAACTTCCCAGCATGCTCCATCCACTCAAAAGAGTTTTTGATAACCATAAATTTGTGTTTAGTTCTTGAAGTGGATAGATAACATCAAGAACTTTAATCATTCAAGATATGTGTTTATACCTAAATAGTTTCAAGAATTAAGCATTATTGCAGCTTTGGGATACCCCACATCGGAGTTTCTAATCTACAACTTTATAAGGAGTTGGTGATTCCTGCTATTTCCTCATGGTATATATTGTTCTAATATACAAAATATATGAGACACTGAGAGTGAATCAATAAGAGACAAAAAATATGTAATAAAATTACATTTGATTTTGCATTTATTAAGAAACTATTGTGTGAAAGGCCTTCTACTTGGTTCTGGGCGTTAAAGGTCTCAATCATGTAGTGTGTCCATTTTTTCATCCTGATTTTGTCGTTTAGAACACCTTAAGGCTCCCAGCTTCAAATAATTTATAAATCTGATTAATATGTCCTAAGAATTATTAATAGAATAATATAAGGCGAAAGAGCGTTTTGCTGTTAACTTATTCTTTTACTCATTGACACATTCATTCAACATTTATTGAACAACCTTTATGTGCCAAGGACTATGTTAAGAGGTAGAGATAGAATGCTCAACAAAACAGAGTTCTTACCATCAAGAAATCTGCAACCTAATTGGAGAAATACATTTAATCAAATAACCAAACGTATTAATGTATCATTAACAATCAGTAATAATAAGAAAAAAATAATGTGCTTTTGGAGCATATACAGCCAATGGAACCAATAGAAATCTCCCCTGAAGAAGTGACACTGAATCAAATAGGTTGTTGGATCTATGAATCTCAAACTCAAAAGAGATATTTGGACTTGAGATATATAGAGATTTGAAAGTTATTAGCATCTACCTTTAGAAATCATCGGCATATACAGCCATAAGAACAATGAAGAATCTCTCAATGTACTTATATGAAGAGACCATCAAGACAGATCATTAAAAATAACAATAAGTCTAGGTAGGAAATAATGTAGTAATGCTACCTCTTACATAATAAAGAAAGAAAAACAAATTACATGTAATTGCATTTGCTTGAGTCACCTAAAAATTTTTGTTGAAAGAATGCACAAGAAACTAATAAAAATGGTTGCGTAAGTGGAAGGGCAGAGTAAGACGGAGCCTTTACGTTGTATACATTTTCATATTGTTTTGATTTGAGACATCCATTGAAAACAAAAAGGCCAAGTAGAGGAGGATGAATGGCAAAAGAGAACGGAGAAGAACAACTAGAGAGGATGGAGTGTGTTGTCACTGAAGCCAAGGGGAAAGAGTGCTTCAAAGCGAAGCTCTGGAGCGGTCTATGGTATCCAATGTGGCAGAGAGGTTTAATGAAATCTGTGCTGCCAAAAAAAATATCCTCTGTGGGAGGGGGACCATAAACTCAGCAAGCAAAAGACCAACAACCCAATAAAAATTAATGAAGGACACAAATACAGATCACAGTAAAATAAAAGTAACAGCAAGTGCTCAATTCATACGGGAAAATATGCTATTAAAGTTATGGGATTCTATTTTCACTTATTTTGGCAAAGATAAGGAAAAAAGAGCTCATCTACTGTTCAGAGGACTGTATATTGGTATTACTTATTTAAGAGGCATGTTGACAACATCTATTAAAATAATATATCTAGTTTATGATTAAGTAATTTCAAGTATAGAAAATGTTTATCTCCTTATTAATAAAGAAATATACAAGCATACATATAAACCTACTATATACATATTTATTGAAATATAAATTATATATACTTTTGATTTATATATGTATATTTATAAATACACATATATGTGGACGTGTGAAAAAGGTATATGTATAAGAATCCTCATTACAGCACTGTTTTAGTAGCAAAAGACTAGAAACAACCTAAGTATCAATCAATATAAGACTGGTTTAAAAATTATGGAACATCTAGAGAAAATATATTTGTGCAGACTTGGAAATATATTTAAGATATATTAGAAGAAAAATGCAGGGGCTGGCCCAGTGGCACAGCAGTTAAGTGCGCATGTTCTGCTTCAGTGGTCTGGGGTTCACCAGTTCAGATCCCAGGTGCGGACATGGCACCATTTGGCAAGCCATGCTGTGATAGGCGTCCTACATATAAAGTAGAGGAAGATGGGCACAGATGTGAGCTCAGGGCCAGTCTTTCTCAGCAAAAAGAGGAGGACTGGCAGCAGATGTTAGCTCAGGGCTAACCTTCCTCAAAAAAAAACAGAAGAAGAAAAATGCAAATACATAGCAGCATACATAGTGTATTTCCATTTGTGTAAAACAAATTAATGCACATGTGTTTAATATTGCTGAAAATACATAGAACATCTGGTTCCAGCAGATGTCTCCTGAAAGGGGACCCAGACACTGGGAGAACCAAGGTAGGGGAGATATTTACTTTTCATTTATACTGTTCTGTTTGGACTTTCTTATATATCATGTCCATATATTACTCTTTCTAGTAAGAAAAAACACTAGCTAGTTAAAAAAAGAATTTTTTTAAATTTTAAACTACATATGAGCCTTAGGATTATAGCAGTGACCTTAACAAGTGTTGTTTAAATGGACTGAGGAGAGAGGAAGCCAAGTCAGGAGAGCTGAGAAGTGAGAGGGAGATGAGTAAATGAAGACAGAATGCATAGAGCTCAAGGAGTTTTGCTGTAAAAGGGAGACAAGAGGTAGGGTAGTAGCTGCAGGCAAACGCATGGTCAAGAGAAGGGAGTGTTTTGTTTGTTTCAGGGTTTTTTTTTTTTTAAGTTGGGAGGAACTGGAGAACGTTTAAATGGGAAGGCTCTTGGGGAGAGGGAGCAAGAAGGAGTCATTCACTGACCACATAAGCACCCTGGGAAGGTGGGAGAGGTTGCTATCCCAAATACAAGCAGAGGGCACTTCCTTCTCTGCAATGAGAGGTCAGAGCAAGAAGGAGGTGGAGACAAGACTCATTTGGCAGTTGGAGAGTGGGGAATTTAGCAAATTCCTGTCTTATGGCTTCTCTTTGTGAAATCATCTACCGAATTAGAGGAAAAATGGAATACGGGCAGTTGGGATCTCAGAAACTTGAAGAGAGATTTGGTTTGAAACCTTAATTTCAGAGAATGGGAGAGCATGTTGACCAGAGACATATAGAAGGCTTGCCCAGATGAGGTTGGTATTTGTGGATTTATAGTGCAATGAACCAATCTGTTCTATGTGATTTCTTCCCAACAGCACCCAGATCCCCTGGTGCAGGCATAAAGAAAGCAAAGAGTTGGATTGGGGTTTCAACAAATGAGTACTAACCAAATATAAGGGGCAAAGGACTTAATATCAAACAGAGACTCCTCCACCTTCCACCCCTCTTCTATCATCTTCAAGATCCATCAGTATTCCCTTCATATATTTTGTCACTTATTCACAATTCATAAATATTTGCATATTCTCTTGGCTAATCAGCCTGAGCAAGCTAATGAGAGGGGAAAAAACAACTTGAAAGATTAGGGATTGCAATGTGAGGGAAGGGACAAGATTAACACTTGTTGAGCACCAACTATCGTGCTAGATATTTACAAACGTGGTCTTATTGGTTATGGAGTAGTCAATGACTATTGCTTGATTCTCCTTTCTAACAAAATTTCAATAAAGTCACTAGTGCTCCCTTTCTGAGACCATAAAATTGATAGAAAAACTCACCTCTCTGAGATCATATACTGTCAAAGCGATGGAAATGGTGGACATGATTATGATGGCAAAAGCATATTCCTTATAATCTTCAGTAAACCACAAACAGACACTAAAGAGTTGAAATATGTAAAATGGATTTAACACCTGTTGGCAGACATAAAAACAGGAAGACAATGGAGACATTTAGGCTTCACACTTAGCTGTTCGTTGACTTGTTTGTTTTCATAATTGCCTCCACGACATAAATCATCCCACATAATATTCTTATTTTTATTATATTTATTCAGCAGTTGCCATGTGCCAGACACTGCACTAAGCAACTTTACCTGAATTTGCTCATTTGATTCTCATAATTACCTTATTAATCAAACGTTATTACTTATCTCCATGGTAAAGATGAAGAAACTGAGCCTTAGATCTTGAGAAACTTGCCCAAGGTCACACAGCTGTGACTGTCACAGACCAAGACTTGAACCCAGGCAATCTAGCCTCAGAGCACTTACTTTTAATTACTGCTGCACCTTATAATTTACAAAGCATTGTCTCATGGATCCTCATGTTGAGCACCACAACTATTGTGTAAGTAGATATTATCATGTCTAGTTTACATTGACTGGCCTTCTGACGGGTAAAGTATTATTTCAGGTTTGCAAAGTTAAAATGCTTTCTAGTCTATTGTTCTTCTCCATGACACAAGTTCTGCCCTATTTGAAGCTGTTAAAATGCTTTAGATTAACATACAAGTGGAAGACTACATTTTCTCAGAAGTAGAGAGCCAAGCTGAAAGGGTCACCTGTAACTGAGCATCTAGAACACGGTGGGAGAAAGTAGAGGTTACCCCAACAGTTGTAATCTTGCTTTGGTTTAAAACACTTTGTGCCCTTACTCAAATTCCCTCTAGTTGATTTCCATCTGTCTAAAACAGGAGCTGTAATCCTGCCTCTGGTTAGGGAAGAGGCATCCAAAAATGTTTCTTATCAGTTTCTTGCTTTCTTTCATGCCCGAAAGCCTGCTAGAAATATTGATAAAGTACTTGAGTTTAGTAAGCTTTTTTAAGGCAAGGAGGAGTGGAGGTGAAGTGCAGGAGACCCTGAGTACAGCTGTATGGTTACAGCTTCATAATAACCACTGTAAAATGAAAAATAAACCCAGTGATAGAGTCAAAGAGGAAAACCTCAACTTCGTAAAAATGGTGGTCAAATCCTTCTTTCTTCCCCAAACACACATTGAGATCAATAAAACTAATAAGGCTAAGCAGATACTTTTCTTCCCACAATTTTAGATATTGAAGAAATTGTACATTGCATCCGTAAGAAAGAGATTCAATTTTTTTTAAATTTTAAGTATTATTTTAGTTTCACAAAGTTGAGACAAGCTAAGGAGTGTAGGATTAAAAAGGAAAGAAGCAAAGAAACATTATGTTTATCCAGTCATTTAAGGATAAATAGACACACGAGCATCATAGTCCAAAAGATGGATGCTAAGGAAAAGGGTAGAAAAGAGATGTGAAGAAAATATGCTTCGCATTCTTTTAAAATAACCCAAATTACAGTTACTTATTAACAAGTAGCATTCTTGATCATTTGACCACAACCAAACTTCTTTATTTTCTATCCAGCACCCAGAGACACAACTGATTACCTCCTTGATGAGCAGTTTCCAAATTGGTGTGATTTCAACATCGATGGTATTAGGCCCACATATTAACCTCCTAGAGCGAGAGATCACAGATCATTCAGTTACTAATAATAAAAATGAAACTCATTTCTCACCCATTCAAAAAAAGATCTATTCCACGTTCCCTTTCTGACTTGTGGGATCAACATAAGCCTTCCTCGTTACATAACATCGCCAACCTTCTCAAAATAACTGGGGAGTGGGAGGGTTCCCAGGTGCAAAAACAATAAACATGAACCTATTGCATCTATTGAACTAAACTCTTCCTGAGGTCTGAATATTCCCCTGATGGTAATTTGGGTATTTCATTTTAGCCATTGTTTTGTTGAAGTAGTTTCAGGGTTGACACTCTCTCCAGTCTGTCTCTCCCCAGCTCTGGCTCCGTGGAAGTGGGAGGAAGGGGTCATGCGGAGACAGTAGTTTTACTGGTAAGGAATCCTGTATCTATCCTGCTCCTTTCCAGGTCTAGGAGGCTGCAGAATTTATTTTAGTGTGAGTGAAAAGGTGTTGGGCTCTCAGAAATAGCTCCATACAGGTATATACGGCCCTTTAATTGAAAACCTAGAAACCTATTTCTTTCATTACACAGAGCAATGACCCTGTATGAGTTATCTTGCTGTTAAGAGCACTAACCACTCTCTCTGTGCCTTCTACATAGATGCTCAGATCAAATAGCTTGGCCAAATATCTTAGAGCGGTGCTTTTCATACTTCAGTGTTCACAGAGATAACTTCAGGATCTTGCTGATATAAAGATTCTGACTCAATAGGGGGGAGGTGTGGTCTGATATTCTGCGTTTCTAACAAGCTCCCCAGTGGTGCTGATGCTGCCACACTCTAGGTCTCTTCTAACTATCGGAAATGGGGTGGAAGGGAATGTGAGAATCATAAAAATGTAGGACCAGCAAGGCCATTATAGAGTCCTGACCTCCCCCCCACCTTTAACAATTAGGAAACTAAAGCCCAGAGAGAAGAAGCTATTTGCTCAAAGCCACATAGTGAATTAATGACAGCCCCTCGACATGCAATCCCGTGCCCTTTCTAAACCTTGCTCCTCTGCCCAGCAACTGATTCAGAATTGTGGAGCTACAGGTCTTGCATAATATTCTCCCGCTGCTCTACAATTATTATTTAACTATGTTATTGTAGTATAATATATATTTCCTGATTACAATCAAAATTGGCTCAACCTTATTAATATAATAACCCTGAGAAGCATGGTATAAAGTAGAAAGAGCACTAAACCCATAGGCAGAAGTGTGAGAGTCATTTCTTCCTCTGTTACTTCCCATCTGTGTCACTTGTTCAGGCTATTAGACCTGAGCTTCAGATTCCTCATCTGCTATATTGAGATCACAATGATGATGTCTGGTCTACCTCCCCCACGAGGTTGCTCTGATGAAACGAGATAATATGTGAAAGCATTTAATGATATTAAATAGAGCATTATATTTTCTGATATTGACCAGTTAAGATGACTATTTACTGGGCTCTCTATTTGGCTAACGGGTAACAGTCCTTTTGAGCCGGCATAGACAGCAATATGCATGGTACCGAATCTCTTGTTCTTCTTTTGTGAGTCCTGATCCAAATTTTAGATGTATCTTGGCAGAACTGAGCCAGTCTTCCAAAGAGCTAAAATAACAATAATGAGAAAGACATATTTAGCAATAATATTTTTGAGATAATATTTTCCTTGTTTGGAGGAAATTGTTGAAACAACTTACCCAATTTTCTGGAACTGTCCTTCTAAGTTGTTCCAAACATATCTTATTTTTTGCACTTTTATGCATCTCACCTGTGAAAGAAAAGTACTAAGAAAGTCTCTGGTTTGAGGATCAGCGAATACACAGCAGTTCAGTGGCTTTTAAAGAAGCATTTGTGGAAGAAGCAAAGATAGGGCCATGTTACACTTATTTAAGATTTTATATTTTCCTAACTCATTCTATCCTTTTCTACTACACCAGTGGCTTTCTTTATTAGAAGTCATCATTCAACCAAAGTGTATCATGGTCCTGCTATATGGATAAGCATATGAATAAAATTCAGTCTCTTCATTCCACAACTTTATAACCTAACGAGGAAAGAAAACATATTACAAAAAAAAAAATCCACTATACCATACAGTCAAATATGTACATGTCAAAAAATAAAAATATAATAAAGTAAAAATTACACTATTGAAATAGTGTAGAAATATACAGAGGGCAGATGACAGTGGCATCATGGAGGAGATGACATCTGAGCTGCAGCCTTGAAGGATTGGAAGAATTTTGCTCAAGGGAGAAGGAAAAAGGGCATTTCAAAGAGATTATGCGCAAGTTAGTTGTGGGGGAGGGGCAAGTGAGTGGGCCTATTTGCCCACAGAATGGACAATGCGGCTGGAATGATAAATAAAGATCAGACCATGCAGCCTTAAATGCTAGGATGAGGTAGTTAGGACTTCATCTTGTAGGCAATAGACTTGCAGGGTAACCTGTAGAAGAGACACCGAAAAACGTTAGTCTGGCAGCAGATTCTAGAAGAGAGTAAAGAGGTTATTGCAAGAAAACGTGCTCCAGGAAGTGAGAGTCAGAGGATTTTGGCAGTGGAAAGGAAAGGTTAATGCTTATGACAATTGCGTCTTGTTGTTTCTGGTTTCTTTAGGCAACTTTATACATAAATCTGAATTTTCATTGACTATTGACCTAATTAAGCACAAAGAGAAACAGCGACACTGTCATATTGTTATGAAACAATAGTTATAACCTCATTTTGCCCACTGTAATCAAATGAGGGTGTTTTAAAAAATATGGATGCCTGGGTCCCATCCCCAAGAGATTCTGATTTCATTTGTATGGGGTATAGCCTGGGCAGAAATATTTTTAAATTTCTTCAGGTGATTCTAATGTGCAGCACAAGTTGAGAAACAGTTTCAAGACTTCCTTTTATAGCTACTCTGATAATTGTAGTCCTGGAGAAATTCAACTAAATTTCTCTGCACCTGAGTTTTCCCATGAATAAATTGAAGCAATTGGCCAGATCATTTATAAGTTCAACTGCAACTCCTCTGTATATGTTCTGTATCTATGAATATTATTGTCCATATAACTATTAGATAAATTCTAAAACTGGGAGGAGCCTATAGCTGGTGCATAATAACTGCTCAATACATTTTTTATTAAATAAATGAATGAATGCTTTGGACAACCACATGTCAGCTAGAAATAGGGTTTATGTCCCTAGGATCCAAGGCCTGGGTTACCTCAAATGAATCTTAACCCTGTTCACACTGTATATGCACATGGGTGCACATATACACACACACATTCATGGTTACCGGGTAAAAATGCTGCATTTTTTTATTTTACAGAATGGATTCATTCCAATACGGTTGAATGCAAAATAACTTTTAAACAAATAAATCCTGGGGGCCAGCCCCATGGCCAAGTGGTTAAAGTTCCATGTGCTCCACATCAGCGGCTCTAGTTCACGGGTTCAGATCCCAGGTGTGGACCTACTCCACTCATCAGCCATGCTGTGGCAGCATCCCATATACAAAGTAGAGGAAGACTGGCACAGATGTTAGCTCAGGGCCAATCTTCCCCACAAAAAGTAAATAAATAAATAAATCCTATTTTCCGAATGAATTTTAGCATAAAATTGCATTGAATCGCCACTAAGAATGATTATTCCTTCACAAGCTGTGAGTTAGACTGAGGAAAGAGCATTTGAAAGCGAGCCGCCTACGATGTGTCAGCCGTCATGGCCGATCTTGGAACTTGAAGTTTCTTGCCTCATCTCTTCCTTCCCTTTTCAGTGGTACCTGCAATTTTGCAAGTAGAGCTGGACTATAAACACAGTTACAGTTTATTGAGCCCTTTGGGGCTTTTCATACACTATCATTAGTCTTTCTCATCATCCTGTGGGAGGACAGATATTATCTTCATGTTCACTTCACTCCTGAAGTTCATTTTGTTTAAGTAACTTGCCCAAGATCTCACCTATTAAGACGCCCGGCTGGAACCTGAGCTCAAGCACATCTGTCTTGAAAGTCCACTCCCTCAAACGATCTAACAGTCAAGTTAGTCTCCGAAGAAGGTCTGAAAATCCCATAACTTCCAGGACTCAAGTTGTATAAACTGAGAGTTGCCTGCTTTATTAACTCTGTGAGTTCAAAAATCCACATGAGAAAATTTTGAAGGACAAGCTGTGGTAGAATGTGAGCCCCGACTGAGTCAGAGAACCCAGCTCAAGAGGCTGTGAAACCACAGGCTGAGACTGAGAATCTTAGAAAACATAATAGGTGCCAAGCATCAGCAGATGAAGGCAGCAATAATGAGGAAGAAACAGGTTACTGATAAGTTTCACCTCAGACCAGAAAATGGAAATTTCCATTGTCTCCCGACAATTTCTGAGACCACTCATCACAGAGTGAGAAGAAGGACTCCATCACAGATCTTTTAAACGTCTTCCCCTAGCAGGAAACATCTCTGCCGGGAGTTTCTCTCCTTCCCTCATCACCTTCGAGGCTCTGGAAGTTGGTAAGAGGATGTTAAGCATACTAATTGAAAGAGGTGAAGATTATTTGCCTATTTCCTGGAACTTCAGAGCAGGAACCAGTAATTAGAAAATCAGGGATCTGCTGTGGGCTGTGATGAGCTGTGATTTTCATCTTTCTGCTCAAAACTAGGAAGCTTCCCCTCCCAAGGCTTCCTGCTCTTCGTTTCTTGTTGGAACAAGTAGTAAGAGCATCCTGTTTAACAGGTTAAACACTGAGTTTCAATTTTGCATGCAACCCTACAAAATGGTACTTACAGTCTCCTCTTAGCCTATATTTGCAAAGCTGACAAGGTTCTTTGCTGTGGTCTCCAAACTCCCCCTACATGGCCCTGAACAGTTATTACTTTGGTATGGTGTTAGTATTCTTATCGCCATCAGTGTTGTCATGGCTCAGCCTGTGACATCTCCTCCAATTTTATTTTATTTTATTTTTTCCTCCAATTCTCATGAAAGTTTCCATCCTTTATATGAATTTAGCTCATTACAGCCCACAAACACCTTAGTCATCCATCTTCTCATTTTAGGTTCACAACTGCCCTGAGAAATGGTCAGAGAAGGGGTTATTACTCTCATTTTATAAGTAAGAAACTCAAGGCTCAGAGTGGCAGTAAATAGCTAAACTTCCAATGCCATATGCTGGTAAATGAAGATATCAAGCCCGGCTGCCAGAACTTTCCATTTCGAGACATCTGCCCTTTCCTCACATTTTGCTTGTCAATTTCAACATTTCTTCCACTTGCTTGTTTGATGCAATTAAAGATACTGGAGGTCAATACCACTCTGAGGCCGTGTCCACAAGGCTGACTTTGGGCCTCCTACTTCTCCAGGTGAGTGGCCACAGATGAAGCAGTCTGCTAGGTGGAGGTGTCTGACCTCCTTTGTTTGTGTTTATTTTGGCAACTAAGACAACTAAATGATAACAATTGACAGTAGAGAAACTGCTCAACAGTTGACTTTTATTATTTTAAAAAACTGACCTTGAGCTCATAAAACTAATTTAAACAGCTGTCTACACATATATAAATTTGAGAAAATACTCTCTTATAAATATGAATGTTAACTAGTCATAATCAAAATAGTACTAATTTAATAGGATGAAGACCTAATACCAAATACATTTGAATGGCAGAATTCAAAACAAGTTCATTTTGCAGACATCAGCAAACTCCCTGGGATAGCCCTGGGTAATCACCTTTACTGAAGGAGAAACCCTGTTACGTACAGTGCAATACAGGGCATGATGCTGCTAAGAGCTAATATGCACCAAGCGTCTACTATGTACCTGCCACCGTATTGATCTTTGTATTCCTTAATTTATTGAATTTCATCAATTAATATGAGAAGTAGGCATCATTATCATTTTATATGTAAGAAAATTGAGGCTCGGCAGAATTTAGTATTTAATCCAGGATTGCACAGTTTAGAAGGATGAAGCTGAGATTTGAACTGTCTGGCTCCAAAGTCCATGTCCTTTATAATGTTCTATGCTGTCAGTTGAGATTGGCACAGTGGAGGATTTGAATTTAACCTTACATGTTGGGGGAAAAAGATTGAATTTCTCTAGCATCAGCCATAGCCATAAATTTACTTACCTTTAGATCTGGCTTTGTTATGGCTCTATTTATGATACACTCCTCATCTGTGATGAGAGGGTGGTCAGGAGTGAGACCAACTGCACTGTTGAGTGCCGACAGGTAGATCCACATCACCTTTTTCCAAGAGTAAGTTTGGAATTCATCCTGAGGAAATAGACACCAAAACCCCCGTGAAGTTAAAAGAAGTCATCAGGCTAAAATTCGACCCGAAAAACATCATTTTAACATAATTCTGTAAGTTTATGGAGTGAATAAACATTCTAGATGGAATTATATGCCTTTGAAAGCTGGTGGACATAGAGTCTTGAGGGGAAACATCGTGCCATCTCTTATCGAGGAATCTGGATATAAATATCAGGCACAGCACATGCAACAAAGTTCAAGAGTTGGGAGGCTCATTCTCAGGTAAGAATTAGTTTCCCCTATTACCCTCCAACCGTGGGGCTACAGGCAGATGCAAAATTTCACAGAAAAAACAAACAAGAAAATAAGCAAGCATTCCAAAGAGTTTCTATAGGTCTCTCAGGCTGGGAAACCAGATCACTAAACATCCACGTGTTTCCAGGCTTCACTTCAATTCCACCTCTTCCAGAACAGCCCTTTTAACACACTCTTGCCGGGGCGGGGGGTGGGGGAAATTTCCCTATATCAACTCCAAAAGATTCTCACTGCCCCTCTCTTGTGCTCCTAATCACGTTCTGCTTTGTATTCTCTTAGTTCTTCTAGACTCTCTGAAGGTAGGGACCATGTCTTACTGTCCCCTATATCTTATCCATGCGGAGAGCTGTGACCTGCTCAATGAGATCTGATAAAGGGATGGAAAAAAGACTGAATACATGGACTGAACGTACCCACAGGTAATTGTCAGGATGTTGGCACAGGTAGGCTTGAAAAAGGTACCTTCTTGCATGACCCTAATTGAAGCTGCTCCCCTTTGCACTTCCCTGATAAAGCTTGTCACAGAATAAAACTAGAGGGAGCAGCACTGGATTGAGTAACAGGTGCCACAGTGGTCCCTTAGAGACTGATGTGATAGCAAGAGTGGTTATTATCTGAATGGGTAAATGCTACACATAAAATCTACTTGGGTGCCTGGTAAACCTCGGGAGCTAGGAAGGATGGCAAAGGAAATCAAGCCTGGGAAATAACCTGATGCCTGGGGAATGTAGGTCAGAGCTGAGAATTATCTCCACCACACCCACTTTTGCCATGAAGAGTGTCCAAGCTGACACTGCAAAAGGCAGAGAGGAGATTATATAGTACTTGTTGTAGCTAAATCTCTTACATCCATTCTCCTGAAGAGAAGCCCACCTCCATGCCTTTGCTCCTGCTGCTTCCTTAGCCTGGAACATACACCCTTCTCTGCTCTCTTTAAGTCCTCACACGGCTAGATCCTAATCATCCTTCAGGGTCTGGCTCAAAGTTCACATCATGGGAACTTCTCTAATTTCTCTGGGTGATCTTTCCTCTAAACCATCAGGGTACTTGGGATTCTTACCACAGTCTATCTCAGTGTGTTGCCCTTTGCCTGTCCACCTTATCACTCCTCTTGGACTGTGTGGGTAGGGACTGCGTTGGATGCATGTCTGTGCTCTATGCAGGCCTAGCACAGATTCTGAGAAAGACAGAGTAAGAGAGACAGAAAAGTGGGAGGAGGGAGAGGAGGAGGGAAAGCAAAGCTAAGGAAGTGGGGAGGGCAGGGAACGAGAGAGAAGAGAAGGAAAGGAAAGGAGAGAAGAGGGAAGGAGAGGGAGAGAGAAGACGAGGGGAGAAAGGGGGAGGGGGAAAAGACCTTAGTAGAAATTTGAAAGTTAATGCATTTTAAAAGCCAGTAAAGTTGTTCATTATCTCATAAAAAAAGAAAGATGGCTAAATCAGGTCAAATTAGATTTGCATGGAGTTACCTTCAGAGCCTCCAAATAATCAAAGATGGCTAACTTTCCAAAGACCGAGCCACTGAACTGGTAGACCTGTTCTACGTATTGTGGAGCAGGCAACCCGCCCCATGGCATACACCTTGACATAGCTCAGCATTACTAGATTTGCTTTGACCACGTCAAAGGGGGCTTTGTTATCAGAAGAACTTTGCATTCTAATAATAAAAATAGTTAATATTTATTTAGCACTTATTATGTTCTGGGCACATAGTGCCATATTATGTATTATTTCTTTTAATGGTCAAAAATCCTATGAGGTAGTAACTGATCATTATTCTCCCCATTCTACAGGTGAGGAAACTGAGGACAGTTGGTAACTATGAGAGAGGAGATTTGGCCTCTTCCAGACCACCTCCTACCCTGCTCTACTCTCCATTTTGTTTAAAAATACAATTTGATTGATCTGCCACTTTTAGATTCAGCCTGAACTGGGACTGCAAAGAACAAAGTCTCAATGAAAAATTTGGTAAGACAACACATAATTTGTAGGTAAATAGGAAAACAAGTTATAAAAGTGCCATCAAGACCAGAGACCTCTGGCCACCAAGTGAGGACAATTAGGAAGACAGCTACTCTGGGTCCTCTTAAGTGCATTAAAATAGCATTAACCACTAATTTTCATATAATTACTTAGCAGTTTACAAAAGCTTTTTGTCAGTTATCTTATTTTAGGCTCACAATTCTCCAAAGTCGGTATTATCATCTCCATTTTGCAGATGAGAAAACTCTCCATCAGCAAGGCTGTAAATTGCTCAAGCCAGTCTGGTGTGGGTAGCAAGGGAGAACTGAGACCTGAGGCCAGGTCTTCTCACTCCAAATCTTATCTCCTTCCTCTTTGTTTCAACAAGTTGTCTCGTGGTGTTTCTGGTTCATGTGTGAAAATCACCTTGAATTCAGTACCACGTAACAAATAGCATCTGGTTTCTCACACTGTCTGCTCTCATGGTAGCAGAGAATCTGATTCCCGAAATCAAGCCATCACCCTTCCGCCCTGTGTGACAGCAAACAGAACTCTAGACTGTAACATCTAAAAGGGAAAGGCAAAGTGGACCATTGGAACTCCCCAGCTCTCGAAGGCCAGTGTTAGTTCATTGCACCAACTGCATGCTTTAGTCTAGCTGAGCGGGAAAGACTGAAATTCACCTATATGCCTCCATCTTATTACAGCCTGAGGCATAACCGAATCAAAGGTGCTTGGATATATTTGCCTTTAATCTCATTTCTTGTCATCCCTGTTGCCCCCAATATTAATTATAATTCCGTATAATGCAAAGTAGAATTCTATTGGCTACAAAAGGTACCACAGTGAGACAACCATTTTTCTTAGACAAGGCAATAATATTGACTTTTCTCTCGTTTACTACTCTATTAATGACTCTATGAAATCATCCATATTTTTAAAAAAATTTGCCTGACTTTTTCAGGGGAAAAAAAGACAAGGAAATGGAGGGAAAGTGTTTCTATGTGAAATGGGCACACGGGGTAACATCATTAACTTCTCTAAGTTTTGGGTTAGTGCTGTCCAATATGGAAAGAGCACAGGCTCCTTCTGAGCTCATATCTCAGTTCCAAACTGTCTTGAAAATCACGGCAACTCTCTGAGCCTGATTTTCTTTATGTGGCGAGTGGGGATGATAATACCACATTTCATGGATGTTTGAAGGATTAAACACAATAATCCATAATGCACCTGGTCTGAGGTCTGGCCCATAGCAGGGTACACAAGGGGTAGTTGGATATAGCTCTGTGCCTCATTTTCCACTGAATGTTCTTCTTGAGATCTTTCTGTAAACGTGAACTTATTTTCCCTTTAAGGAAACGAGAATCTCTGACAGTCTCTCTATTTATTTTTCCTTTCTGGAAAAGACGCCTCTTTACCCGGAAATGGCTATTTCCACTTCAGTCTGTTTCCCAGCTCTCTCAAGCTGTTAATGATCTGTAAAATACTTAAATGCACCAGAGGAGCTTCCACTTTAAATAATTGCTTTGTAATGCAAATCATCCAATCTGTTTGCCCAGCAAATCTAGACTGTTAACACCTCGAGTCTCATGGAGTACGCTTTACCGCCTCTTTATCAAGAGAATTAACCAGAGCAGTCCTTGAACTCTAAAAGGGTCAGATTTGAAATAGTTCAAGACTGCATTTCAAGGAATTGAATGTACACCGGGGACCTATGTTTGACCTGGACAGAAAGATAGAGGAGGAAATCCCGGCAGTTTTTATTTCCTGTGGCCTTGCACTTTCTGAGCCTGCAAATACCAGAGTAACTCTTATAACTGAATGAAGTGAGTGACCTCGCTCATCTTCTTCTAACCTCTCACTGTAAGCGCCTCATCTCGTGGAATTTAAAAGCCGCGTTAACAGTCACTTTAAGTTCAGGCCAATGCTGTGACTTATCCTCTTGTGTAGGCGTTCACTCTACAAAAACGTACTTCTGAGCTTGCTTTAAAAAGAAAAAAGTAACCCATTGCACAGTTCCAAAGAGACATTAGGAAATCAGTACTTTTCACTTGGAGATGGATCCATTGCAATGCTAAAAAGTTGAACTCAAGCTGAGGTGAAGTACTTAGAGGATTATGGATAAAGTAACGACTTACTTTTCTCAGACTCCTTCTAGAACACCGCACTACCTTTACAGACCCACAACTTGGGCAAAATACTGTTCTTTCTATATTTAAGTACCATTTATTCTTTCTCTTTCCCCTTCTTGGACCCACTGATATTCTTGACAGCTTGACCTCATATTCCCAAAGTTGCTTCGCTGGAAAAAGTGGACATTTGCTAGAATGTGAGATTTAGTTATAAAATATAGAGGAAGTTCTGAGCATTGGAGAAGTCTCACACTAATTATTCTCTCAGCACTCCTGGGACACAGCGACCAAAATAAAAAAAGAGGGAAGGAGGGTGGCCAAAGCAGAGAAGTTATGTGGCAAAGGAAAGGCTGTACCCATGTTTGCATGAAAAAAAAAGAAATCCTGAACAACTCTGCATATGTTTTTGGAGAGATTGGGGTTTTTTGTTTGTTTGTTTTTATAATGTTTTTCTGAGGTGAGAGGGAGCAGTGAATCAGCCGGCTCATTGTCTAACATATCTGGAGATGCAGTACATAGTAAGAAGCAAGGAATAAAAAGTTAAAATTAGTTGAAAAACATGAGTAGTGACCAATGCCCATGGAATGCCTCTGTGCCAGGCACGGTTTTCCTCTC